TTTTTGCGGTACGCGGGCCCCTCACTGCTGTGGCCTCTCCCGCTGCGGAGCACAGGCTCCAAACGCGCAGGCTCAGCGGCCATGGCTCACGGGCCCAGCCGCTCCGCGGCGTGTGGGATCTTCCCGGACCGGGGCACGAAGCCGTGTCCCCTGCATCAGCAGGCGGAGTCTCACCACTGCGCCACCAGGGAAGCCCTACTGCTGTAATTTTTTTTAAATGTTTAAAAAATGTTTATCCACTATGTTTAGTTGTTTTAAGTCCACCTATGTAGTCTGGCAACAAAAGTGCCCACATTGATTTTCAGAAGGCATGTGCCTTTTGCCTAAAGTATGTGAGAGTATCATTTGATTGCTTGCTTACCTGCTTTAAGTGGTGTACTTGATTTTTTGCTAATTTCATAGTCCAACATTTTGGATTTTTGCATTTCTTTGATTTTAAATTTGAGCATTTATTATCATATTCATAGATATATTATCACAATATGTATGTACCCCAGATACCTAATTTGCAGTAAATCCCTGAACTTGAATTGCTGGATTGAAGGACACACATTTTTTAAAAGACTTTTGTTAGATAGTCCCAATAAACTCTAGCAAAAGGTTGTACCCACTAAATTCCCTGTAGTAGTGTTCGAGTAGCCATTTATCCATACTCATTAGTATTGAGTATGTATTTTCCTTTTTTAAATCTTTAACAAAATATCAACATTAAAAAAAAATCAAGTTTCCGCTTTGTGAAGAAGAAAATACTCATTAAGAAACAATGGGGGGGCTTCCCTGGTGGCGCAGTGGTTGAGAGTCCGCCTGCCGATGCAGGGGACACGGGTTCGTGCCCCGGTCTGGGAGGATCCCACATGCCGCGGAGTGGCTGGGCCCGTGAGCCGTGGGCCGCTGGGCCTGCGCCTCCGGAGCCTGTGCTCCGCAACGGGAGAGGCCACAGCAGTGAGAGGCCCGCGTACCGCAAAAAAAAAAAGAAAGAAAAGAAACAATGGGAAGCATGCTGATAATAAGTAGACATGAAATGAATTTTCTATGATACTTAAAAATTAATAAACTTACTTTGAGGTCTTTTTATGAAAAAGGTAATTTGTCAAGTCATTATGCTGTGTACCTTAAACTTAGTTGTATGTCAGTTATATCTCAATAAAACTGATAGAAAAAGGAAAAAGCTTGTTTATGTGCAACTGTGTATATGTTGGTAAGTTATAAAATTGCTTTTGGTGGGCTTATCTGAAAATTTTAAATACCACATATTTATAAATGTGACTGTTGTTTCAGGCTGGAGTGAGCAGTTACCAGATACTCTAGTTGATGAATCTGTTTCTGTTACTGAAAACACTGAAAAAATAAAGAAGAGATACCGAAAAAGGAAAAATAAGCTTGAAGAAATTTTCCCTGCCTATTTACAAGTAATATTTTGCTTTATATTATATATTTGTTAATGAAAGAAACGTAAAGTGATGTATTGAGTTTTGAAAAAGAGTGTTGTTTTTGTACATGTTTTAATCAGTCATCATAAATGCCATTTTTTACCTTCCAGAGCCCCTTAAAAATTACATTTATCTTCTTTGTGCTTTGATACTTTTTACAAAGTTCTTTTTTTAATCCCAGGTTTTCATTTATAAATTGCATAAGAAACACAAGAACTTTTTGGCTGGGAAAAGCTCATTCTTCCAAACTAGTCATACCTGTGTACTCTGCAAACGGCAAGTCTGGTGGACAGCTTCCTTTGCTAGTACAGGTTACAGTAATTATGTTCACTGAATGATGATGGGTTTTTAGCCGCCAGAATTACAGCTTTCATAATATTTACCACATTTAGAGGCCTAGTGAACCAAAGGTTTAGGCTGAATTGTTTCTGTTTTCTAAAATATACATCAGGAAAATATCCCTCAATTTGAAGAAATTGTTTGATAGATGTAAATAGAAATCCTTCTAGTTCATCTTGTAAACATTAAGTCTCAGAAGAGTTCAAGGCCATGTGGTACATTGGAAAGAGCCCTACATCAGAAATAGGACTGAGCTGTAATGGCTGGCTCAGGCATAGCTCATTGTAGATTCTTGAGCATGTAATTCATCCTTCCTTGGCCTCTCTTCCTTCATGTGTAGAAATTGAATTGGATCATACTGTCATTGAGTGTCCATCTGATCTGTCCCTCCCACACAGCTATGGCCAACATAGGTAGCTCTTCATTGTTTGAGTTGTAATGTTTTTTTAACCTTAATTTTCCAGTTAGCTATTACTAATTTAATTGGTTTTAAAGACATTTCCTTTCAATTAACATACAGCTTCCTCAATTTTTTTTTGGAATTAGAAGTATAAAATTCAAATACTCATTTGACTAAAATGTCTTCTATATTTATCAAATAAGACTTTAAAGCATAAGTACCTTAAGTGTATAATAATATTTATGAGTGTGAATTTTTGTTAGACAACTAACATCATAAGGGCAGTGTCCATTTTAAAGAGTGCAGTCTTTAAAGTCAGAGCCCTGGGTTTGAATGCCACTATGCTACCAGTTAGCTATGTGATTTTGTTTTATTTAGCATCTCTGTGCCCCAGTTTTCTCATCTATAAAATTGTGGTAATACCTACTGTACAGAAATGTTGAGAGATGAAATAAGAATTGTGGATGTAAAGTGCTTAACTCTGCACCTCACATTTTATCTGTCTTTAATAAATGTTTTATTTTCCCCTTATTCCCTTCACATACCCATTCATTCTAGCTTTGTACCTTTTAAAAATATATAACAGTAATTTTATTGTTCAGGAAATAGAACCATTTATTGTTTAGATTATATTTAATTGCACCCTTTGTGTTGTCTCCTGTGGCCTTCACCTCCCATCTTAATAGTCCTTCCTGCCTGGGAGTATTGAGTAGATGGCATGCTCCCCTCCTCCTGTTGACCCTTCTGTAAAGTGTAATGTACATTTAGGAAGCTTTCTTTAGCTTTTTAATGAAAGTATTGATATGAAAAGTGACGATTTCATACTTTTGCAAAAGAGCCTTTAAAAATAGTGGATCTGATTTCCTGATTACTGCTGTAATCTAAATCTGTTGATCTGGATTGTTTCTTTTGGTGTCCAGGTGTAATTCCCCTGTTGTCCATCAGTAATATATAGCTTTTTTGATGTGCAGGAACCTTTTGTGATAGTACTATTTCTTGGACATCTTTTGATAGCAATTGTATTTTTTTTCACCGTTGTTTAGGGGTGGGGTGGGGCATACATAATATATAGTGATGAAAACCCGCCAGGGATTCAGTAACAGTGTTTTTCTAGCTTTTCTTTATTAATCACAACAGTGTCAAGATAAACTATAAATAATTGTTTAATCCACCCAGTAGAAATAGTTACCTGGCCTATTAAGAGCCGGTGGTACCACATGGCCATAGGAACCCCTGTAGTAGATCTGAAGTCTCCAGGTTCTGGTCATCACTGAATACTATTAAGTCACAAACCAGGTGGAGCCACTCCTTTACGTTAACTGCAGGAAACAAAAAGCCGCCAAAGTAGTAAGAATGTAACAGTTTTTGATAAATACCACTAAATTCATCATGGGTCATATTAAGAAAAAATTCTTGCTAATGGTGGTCTCAGATTTCTCAGATTTATACTGAAGGCATTAAATAAATGATCTATAAAGTTCTAAGATGCTTTCGTAATGATAAAAGCGTTACCAGTATAAGAAACAATTAATCTCCTGCCCAGTGCTCTATATTTGTGGGTTTTCAAATTCTTTTTCATAGTGAAACAAGTTCTTCATTTAAAAAAAGTGAAAATTTCAAATCAAATATTCATCGCCTCTACCAGACTTCACATACCTCCTCCCCTGTCCCTTTTCAAAAGTTAACAGCTTGGTGTTTATCCTTTCAGAACTTTTAAAATAATTTATTTTTGTATAGTCTTGGTTTGTTTGACAGACATTGAGTCTGTTTTCTCTTTTGGGTATTACTAAAAAATGCTGCAGTGAACCTTTTTTGTGTATGTGTCTTTGGCAAAAGTGTATTAAATGTTGGTAGTTACTGCAAAATTGCCCTCCACCAAGAATCCCCTTTCCAGGCAGACCACATTATAGACAGTAGAGTTTTGGGGTTGAAGTAAGTGAAGGGGGTCCCCAGTGCTTCCTTTTATTCTCTTTATTGATGCTTGAGAAGTTTGGGGGAGGTCTAGAGCTGTAAGGAGCCCAGCTTGAAAGAGTGGTCTCTACAGTAGAGCAAGTATATTGAAATGGAGAAAAATTAATATGAGTAAATGGATAAAAAGCCATAGCCTTTAATAGCCATACATGTTGTACACATAGTTTGTTTAAAATGACTATAAAAACCCTCTTTCAGATTTGTAGCCTGTGAAATCTTTAATGTGGTTGTATGCATCAGTATGATAATACTAAATCTATCTGAAGTATATAAATATTAAAGCTGTAGATCAAACCCTTGTGCTATCCTCTGTAGATGATCTATAAATATTAATAATATTCATGAAGTTTTAGTTTTTCTTATAATATGAATTAAAGTGCCATACTGTTACAAATTTATCCATTTTTAAATTTAATTGTAATCTAATCTGGGAGTATCGAATTATTATACTGCAGTTGGTAGAAACATATTTGACAGAATTGTGTGGTTTTATTTGCATAATTTTATTTGATTCTTGTAAAAAAAAAACCCCAAAAAACCTTATTTTTAAAATTCCGGTCAATTCTTTATATAAAAGAATTGACAGGCTATCTCTATAATTATTTATATATTTCTGTAGTCAGTTTTTATATTGTTAAAATACTAAGCTTTCCTGTTATTTCTGCCGCCTTATCAAAATGATGACAGAATTATCTGTTCTCATTTTAGAATTTTATAACTAAGTCAGTTGTTCTCATATGTGCTTATCTTTATCTAGGAAGCTTTCTTTGGAAAAGATCTTCTAGATACAACTAGACAAAACAGACTAAGTTTAGATAATCTATCAGAAGATACAGCTCAGCTTTCTTACAAAACAAACATGAGCACAAATTTCTTGGATCCTTCCTTAGATCCACTACTTAGTTCATCCTCAACTCCAGCAAAACCTGGAACTCACGGTATGTGGAATCACTGACAAACTTTTCTTTATCGCATTACATTCATCTTCCTTTTAATCAAACCTTTGAAATGCTTTAGTTTGGCCTCATATGCATTTTTAAAATTAACTTTATTGAAGTACCAGGTCTATAAGATTTATCAAATAAGTTTATCTGTGTAACAACCACTAAATCAACTCCTGTGAGGGGCGAAGGAAAATGGTTTATAGTTTGCTGAGGGTAATGTAAGGGAGTGTAATTAGGCCATAGTTGGTGAGTTATAAATATAATAGTCTTCAACTTAAGGTAGATTTTTGTTAATTACATAGCCCCAAGAAATTCAGAAGAGGAAAAGAGTGCTGTAGCTGGGAACTGGCTGTTCCACTGTGATAATAAAGTGAAATATATTTTAGATCAGTTTGTCGCTACTGACAGTTTGGGCCAGATAAACCTTTGTTGGAGGAGGGAGGCTGTCCTGATATTTAGCAGCATCTCTGTCCTCATGATGTCATAATGATCAAAAATGTCTCCAGATATTGCCAAATGTCCCTGCAAAACTGTCCCCTATTGAGACCCACTGCCCTAGCTATAGTGAATATGGGGACTACTTAGAATCAGAGAAAGGTATGAGAGCTTAATGTTTATAAATATTAACGTCAGCAAGGCTCTCAGAGTTTTAACTAGTTAGGTATCACAAAGTTTTTCCTCCACTTCTGTATTTTTATCTTGCTTTCAATTAGAAATTTAATGTTCTTCTGACAGGCTTCCTTTTGCCATTGAATTACATTTATTACTCCTTTAATTTTATAAACTCAATTTGGAAAACAGTCTTAAGGCAGCAGCCTTCCACTGAAAGATGACTTTTGATATATTAAGTAGTTACAGCTTCATTAACTTACCACTATCCTGGATGGAAATACAGGCTTTTATTTTTTATTTTAACTTCTTGAAATAATTAGAAGCAATCTTATCCCCCTGTTATTTGAATGCACCCAGCACGGGAGTAAAGGCCATGCTCTTTGTTTAATGTTAGCAGATCATTTTACTTTAGTTCTGTTGTTTTGAGTACTTACCTGCTCTGATCCATGTTAATATGTTGTTAAAATAATGCATAGTGAAAGACTTGTCGGCCCTTCAAAGGATGTCTCACTCTGAAGGATTATCTTATAAAAGTCTTGACTAGCCATTTAAAGACTTACATAGAAGGAAATTGCCCTTGAGTTTTTACAAGGAAAAGAACTGAGGTTGGAAAGAGACATATTGTGACTGGAAAGACATTGCTGTACAGTATTTTTATTCCTGTTTCCTTTATTTGAAGTTGTTTTTTCCACAGAACTCCTGAAGAGAGAATAGTTTAATGATAAAGCCAAAATAGTTTAATGATAAAGCCAAGGACTAGAATAATACACATTTCAAAACCTAGGTTAAATATAATGTTCTGTGCAGTCGAACCACTCTCTTGCCACTATGATGGGAATTCAAAAGTAATAGCTTCCTTTTTTAAAATACTTTATTCAATGTAGTCCATTATATCAGTTTAAATAATTTGTTGATAAGATACAAAATCTCTTCAGGTAGAGGAGAATTTTTAAAACATGGTCTTTTAAAAAACGCTGGTTGTAATTTGTTTAGTAGAATTCCATTGGTTTAAAACAAACAAGCCCGCAAACCTTTACCCTGGAACAATTATCCCCCAGTTTTTTTTCTTTCAAGTGTACTGTTGTCTACAGAATACATTATTGAAATAATTTTATTTCTTAAAAACTTTACAAATATTTGGGCATACAGAATTTACTTTAGCTCAATTTGAAAAATTATATTTTTATGTATGTCTGCATTCTATTTGAGAAGTATATGTTTAATGGGACAAGACTATTTTCATAGAAATATCTGATCTAGAATCTGGAGTATTTTATGTCCTCCCCTCCTCTCTTTTTTTTTTAATTTTTAATTGAAGTATAGTTGATTACAATGCTGTGCCGATGTCTGCCTTACAGCAGAGTGACTGAGCTATACACATATATTTTTTTAAAATATTCTTTCCCATTATGGTTTATCATAGGATATTGAATATAGTTCTCTGTGCTATACAGTAGGACCTTGTTGTTTATCCATTCTAAATATAAATCCTTTTTTTTTCCTTAAGTAAAAATATAGTCAAAATGGATTTAAAAATTCAGATATCCCTTAACTTACATGACTAATAAAGTTACTAAAGGTAGCCTAAATATTTTCCTTAGGCCAGAAACCCTGGTAGTTCTCCTTGACTCTTCATTATCTCACATTCCACATCTGATACCTCCACAAGTTTGCCTCTGCCTTCAAATGATATCCCAAAGCCAGCCACTCCTAACCTCACCCTCCCACCACAGTCGTGCGGCTGGTACCACCTCTCACTTAGACCCGGCCACAAGGCCTGCTGACTGATCCATCTCCCCTCTTGCCAACATGCCTTACCCCCTCCTCCACCCCCGTCGGTTCTGCGCCTGGCAACCAGCGTTTCCCTGTAAGATATCAGTCACACCTTCCTCTGGCAACCTTCCAGCAACTTCCCATTATACAGTTGACCCCTGAACAACAGGGGTTTGAACTGCGAGGGTCCACTTATATGAGGATTTTTTTCACTGATACGTACAGGAGTCCTACCATCTCTGGCTGCCTGAATCTGCAGAGGTGGAAATGAGGATATAGGGAGGGCCGACCAGAAGTCATATTGGGATTTTTGACTGTGTGGAGGGTCGGTGCCCCTCACCCCCATGTTGTTCAAGGGTCAGCTGTACTTTATACTTCAGAATAAAGCTCAGTCTTCGCCTTGACTTGTAAAACCATCCATAATCTTGCTTAACTGCCTTTTCAGTCTCTTACCATTCTTTCCCTCTATTACCGCAAGCACTGGCCCCTTGTCTTGACAAAATTCTTCCTGCTCTGGTCTTTGCATCTGCTTTTCCCTTTGCCTGAGGTACTCTCTCCATCTTAGGGCATATGCTCCCATAGCTTGTTTATTAGATTTGTGCTTGGTAACCACTTTTAAAAGGCCTTCCCTGACCACTTTTTCTAATATCGAACAGTATTTCCACATCTTATTCTGAATCCTTTTTTCCTTATTGCTTATCTTTATAGCACTTTCACTGCTGTCATTTATTTACTGTCAGACTCCCTCTGAGAAAGTAAGCTCTGGAGGCCATGCACTTTGTTTTAGTCACCTCTGTATTTCCAGTGGCTGGACCAGTGCCTGTTAACATAATCCATAGACATAATTCTGTGGGTACTCAAACACTTTCTTGAATAAATAAGTGAATTAATCAGTGTTAAGGGTAAAGCTGGAAGTAGGCATTTGACTAGATGGTATCTGGTTTATACTTTACAAGGAACTTCTAAACAGTAGGTTTGCCTTTAATATTTTATTTATCTTCTAGAGTGTTTTCCAGATGTCATTTTTAGCGATGCCACTTTCTTAATTTTTTGCTTTGTTTCACTTTTATTGCCTATGGGTTTTATTTTAAATTTTATTTTATTGTTAATATACAGTAGTCACAAAAACAAAAGTCTTAATTTTTTAATGTTTTGTTATTGAAAATGTTGGAGTGCCTTTTCTATGAAAAATTCCTTACTTTAGAAGTAATAATCTTTTTATGATTCTAGTACTTACCTCAGTATCTGCTGAGGTAAGTAGATATTTAGTAAGTGGTTGAATGAGTGAGTTTTAGAATTTAATGTCTAGGAAAATACTGACACTTTACAAACATACTTACTGCGCTTAGGCACTGCTGATGATCCCTTAGCCGATATTTCCGAAGTCTTAAACACAGATGATGACATTCTTGGAATAATTTCAGACGACCTTGCAAAATCAGTTGATCATTCAGGTATATATGAGTACTGTTTGCCCAGTGTCTGTTTTATGATGTGAGTGAGAGGTATGTGTGTGAAACAAGCTTAGTCTTTTCTCTGAAACTGAAAAAAAAATTTTTCTTTCTTTTCCTTCCTTCCTTCCTCCCTCCCTCCCTCCCCTCCCCTCCCCTTCCCTTCCCTTCCTTTGTCAAAGAACTCATCATTTTATTTGATCTGCTTTGGCTTTCCTGCTTTAAGAGGGGAAATAGCAAGTTAGTTAATTTCTGTTGCCTGTCTAATTGCATCAGATTTAAGGCCTGTTGCCTTAGAGTCCTGCTGTACCTGTTTCTTCTTTTGTTTGCACCGTCCCCCAGCTCCCGTGGTAATCATCCATTTTATTTGGTTTGGGTCTTGTAGGTCTTGATTTATGCACTTTCCAGGTTGAGAGCTCATCTTGTCCATTTGGTAAGAAACTGAGCCATGGCTGACGGCTGACTAGAAGTAGTCTTTTTTTTTTTTTAAATAGTGATTTCAGCTGAAACAACCTGTAGGTGCATGTGTATTTGTTATAGTGCTAATTTGTCACTAATCCAACTTTGCTTTTCCCTTTGTGCGTGCAGCTAAAGCATGGTACAGCTGTACTGTGCTTTGGATGACTTTCTCTGTAGTGTTCTTTTTTTTTAAATGAATGGTTTTATTCACGTTAGTATGTAATTTATAATATTACCCAAATATTACAGAGTTAGTTCCTATAAGAGCAGATAAGTTCCAGATAAGAGCAGATGAAATTTTACTTTTTGATAGCAGTAATATTGAGGAGGAAGCATGATAAAGTAGATAAACCAGTTTTAAATGTGACTGTTGCTTAAAAACCAATTTATATGAGATAAAACGTAATAAACATGATCTGTATATTGTTTTTGACTACAGAATATTTCAAAAATACGATCTGTAGTTGAAATTATTCACAAAAGGATAATTTTTACAAGGCATTGAAAGTTTTAAGAGCTTTTCATTAATTTGTGTGAAAGTTGTTTCACAAACTGCGTATAAGTTGAACCATACATTTGAAACACTATCTTCTAAGTTTAAGCAATTAATTGTATATTGAACATTGTATATTGATTCTTCTTAGAGAGTCCTGTCTTAATAATATGCTGCTTATTTTTTTGTGGAAATTAGCACTTTAGAACCAGATGTGTTCTTTGGTTTCTCAGGGAATGTGTTTGCATTGATTAAACCATAACTTTAAGCAGCACCCAAGTTTATAGATACATTGTGCCTAATTTTTACTGATTGACTCTCCAGATTGATTTAGGAATCCAGATTAATTCAGAATTACAGGCTTCTCATCGCTCTGTTTTAATCATATTGTTGTGTCTTAATGCAGGTAAATAGTGTAGTGCATTCTGTGTGAGTGTTCAGAATTCACTTTTTAATACACATACCTTGCTCCTCAGCTGGAATAGACCTTGGTGCCGGCGTTGATGATCCTTCCTCTTTGCCTCAGCCAAGTGTCAATCAGAGTTCACGACCGTTAAGTGAAGAGCAGCTCGATGGCATCCTCAGCCCTGAACTAGACAAAATGGTCACAGATGGTAAAATATTTGCCCTACATCTAGGCTTTCTAAAAGACATGAGTAAATACGATTTTCAAAGATTTCTGCATGCTTATTAACAAATTAACTTCTCTTCTGATAATTTTATGTCAAATGCTGTTTTGTACCAGTATATTGAAATGATGGTTGTTAATATTTCCACCTCTTTATTTTATCCTAGGAGCAATTCTTGGGAAGTTATATAAAATTCCAGGTATTTGTGTTTTGATTTTTAGTTTATAAGAATGGAATTCCCTGTGCTTTGGCTCTGTAGCCCTTTAATCGTACTGTCATTGGAACTGTGTCTCCTAGAGCTTGGAGGAAAGGATGTGGAGGACTTGTTTACCGCCGTGCTCAGTCCTGCAGCCACGCAGCCAGCTTCCGTACCACAGCCTCCGGCACCTCCGCTGCTGCCCGCGCACGCTCAGGGTATGTCGCCTCTCGAAAAGTGTCATAAGTATGGCTCTGTGGTGAGTGTCCCTCAGGAACCACGCACACAGAGTGATGGCAGAAAGCCCTCTTTTGTGCCGATGGAAGAGTACCAATCTCTGAGTTTCCCTCAGTTACACACCTACCTCCCTGACATCCTCTGGAAATCGGCGATTCTCTGCATGGCCAGAATTCTTCTGCTCACTTGATCTGCAACGCCACTATTAACAGTGCCTGCCTTCCTCCCATCCCCCAGTCCTAGTCCCAGCTCGCTTTTACTCAGTCCTTCCTGCAAAGATGTTTGGAGAACTGCTCCCCCCTCACCTGGCTGCCTTAGACTCATCCATCTGGTCTCAGTTTCACTGTCATTTCCTCAGTGGTTAGCAAATCACCACCTCCACACCTACCCCATTCTTTTCATTGGTAGCATGTGGTGCAGATATAAATGACTGTTTGGGTAATTATGGTTTTCCCTTTAGGTTGTGAGCTCCTTGAAGGCTTGGGTCACATCTGTCTTCACCACTGTATACCTTGCCACAGAGTATGTCCTTAGTACATACTTCAGAGTAAATCAGTGGCCTTTTTACCACTGTCGACTGTGAAATTCCTAATTCTGTGGAAATTTGCCTATTTTGTTTAATCCAGTTTCTTCTGCCTATTTGTAACTACTTGCAAAACAAGTTTAAGGCTTTCCTTTCTCCCTCTGCCTGGACAGCTAAAATCTGATAGGCTAGAATTAAAATTTGTGGGAGTAGGTAGGTAAGGTGGTAGTGCTGCCGGTCTGGGAATCTCCTATGGAAGGGAGATGGTGGTGTGTATTCTTGATGATTTGAATAATGGGTCATTTCTCTATATCCTGTTGTCACTGCTTCATGATTATATACTGAATTGAATAATTTGTAATGATACTTTTATAAGCTCATACACTTTTTGTGTTAAGTGCTGAAATGTACAAATAATTTAATGTTATCTTTACTACCAATTTTGTGTATACATGAAAAATTCTATAATGCACATAATTGAAATATTTTAGTTTCTACCATTTTAGCCTCTAAGCATAATTTACCTTGATTTTTGCTAGACTAAACATGTGATTTACATTTGGATAAAACAGACTCATCATAAGTGCTTCTTGCCTTAATTGTTCCCATATGCTGTCTTAATGATTAAGAACTCTTCAATATTTCTCTTCTCAACATATAAAAAAACTCTCTCCATGTTTTCTGAAACTAAAAGTGTGTATTTCAGAAATCAAATCATTTAAAGATGTATTCCTTTATAAAAGGTTTTATGATCATTGTTTAAATCATTTCACTGTGCAGTCTCATTTTTAATAAGGTTTTGAAGGTTGGGGGCAGTTGATTTATTTTTTTTTACCCAAAATGTGTTTATTGGGATGTTTCCCATTCATCTTGATTCCGGCAGCTTTTAGTGCTGCTTCCGTCTGGAGGAGCATCCTTCTGTAAGCCTTGCTTTTCCTCCTATAGGCTGGCAGAGGACAGTAGAGCAGCCAACACACAAAACTACTGTTTGTGCATGGCTAAAGACGGTGGTGATTTTATAGCATCCTGGGCATTTCACATCCACGAAATAGGAATTGGGGCTCTGCACCAGGTGCTGCTTCTTGTGTTTCCTCTTCTCTTCTGGAGAGGGCTGAAGGAGATCCTTTGCGAGAGGCATGTTCTCGTGGGGAGGTCATCACCGTTGGAAAGGTGGGGTTGATCTTTTTTTTTGCGTAGGAGTCGCTAAGATTTCAGCATTCATGTTTGAAAGAATAATAATTTAAGGATAGAGCATGATCAGGTCACATGCAGGGAGACCACACAGATATTCAAGAATGGCAACTCTAACATTTTCCAGGGCAAAGGAAGAGAGGTAAGTGGTCAGTGTTTTAGAAGGCAGGACAGAAAGTATGCATGGGACTGAATTGTGTCTACACAGCTAGGCACTGGCAGTTGGCCTTTTTTTCTCCACGTTTCTGAGAGGTACTGGAGACCTCACACCAGTGAAATGACCTGATGAGTTACACATTTTGGCCGAGTAGCTCTGATGTCAGTATTGGAAATGGATTTGACACAGGAAGAGTTGTACTCATGAGTTTATTGCAGTGGGGACTGAGTTAGAATTTGGGCTCCATTTAAATATATCTGCAGTGCTAATTGAAAGGAGGAAATGGATTTGAGAGACAGTGCTGTTAGAATAAGTAGGATAGTGCTACCAAATGGATGTAAGATGTGAGAAAAAAGGAAATTGAACTGGACTATATATAAGCCAGCCTTGCCTAGAGGATAACCAGTCATGCTGTAAACTGGAAACATGGAACAAAGAAGCGTGCACGCACGCGCGTGTGTGTGTGTGTTGTAGGGGAACAAGGAAGCATGCACGTGCGTGTGTGTGCGTGTGCGTGTGTGTGTGTGTGTGTGTGTGTGTGTGTGTGTTGTAGGGGGAGGGTAGTGGAGATGTAATGGATTTAGTTTTAGGCCATTTTTAGTTAGAAATGGGACATACACATTGTTCTGACGTAAAGGCAGTTGCAGTTGTTCAAGGCTGTAGATGAAAATTTAGGAATTGTCTGTTTAGTGGTTGGAAGGGTGAGCTTTCTTAAGAATATACTGCCAGTAGAGTACAGAATCTTGAAGAACTCTTTTTAATTAAATAATGAGTTATATGCTTAAGTCAACTGATTTATATTAGGTATGCAATTATACAATCCTTTCCCCTTTTGAAGCATTAGGTGGAAGTGAAAAAAGCTAAGAGATGGAGACACCGAGTGAGAAGTATAGGATCTTCGCAGTGGCGGTCATCAGGCCGTAGGGTCCGGTGGGGTGAAAGGCGTTGTTGTTTCACTGGATGGTGAGATTGCTGTGATCTTCAGTGGATCAACTTAGTAGGAGCGATGAGGAGAAGGGCAGAGTGTGATGTGTTGACACTTTTATAGAAGGTCAGAAAGCGGAGAAGGGAAATTTCAAGAAGATTGAGACAGTAACTTGAAATCACTTTAGGTGAAAGTTACATGAAGTGACTTTGCAATTCTTACCATGGTTCATGCCTTGAAAAAGATACTAGTATGACCAGGTGTGGTAGACTGGAGAGAATGGGAAAAAGACCACCTCCTAATTAAAATAATAACAAAGGGAAAATGCTTTGCATCTATTTATGTGTACTTAAGTTATTTAATTTCTCTGGGTCTTTTTGCATAAATGGAGCTACGCGTAATAACCCATTTCATGGCCTGGTTGTGAGGACCAAAGAGTTAACACATGTAAAGGTTTTGGAGCAGTGCCAGGCATATACTAAATTGCTAATGAGTAATAGCTATTGTTATTATGTGAGGTTTCAGTATAGTTGTATTGCAGGTACAGTAGTCAGTGCTGATAGCTCCAGGATAGATCACATTCTCACTACTAGGAAGGGAGCTTTTCTTTATCCTAACTACATGAAAGGCATTTAATATTTTTCAATAAAATATCATATTCCTTAGTGGAACCTACTTGTCTCTAAAGTTAAAAAATAGAAGTAGCATTCTACTTGGAATAAGTGCAGAAATCTTGCTTCTTAATCCGATCCTTGGAGTGAACATAAGTGTCCTGAGACACTTGTTGTGGAGTCCAGATCCAGTGGGCCCAGCTCTGCCGTTATGCAGGAGAAGCCCTAACCTGGAAGTCAGATGGTTCCAGGACCACTGTCCTTGAGACAAAGCCTGAAAAGCTGCGGGCAGTCAGCCCCAGTGTCCTCAGACGAACTTGAGGGTTGTAATGGAGGGTCTGGTTTGGCTGAAAGGACATTACGTAGTGTAGAACATTATGTGGGCAAGACACTTCTCTTTGTTATTTTTTCTAATAGCTTGGCAAGTGATCGGGTTAGGGGTTCTCTGTCACTATACCAGGTGTGCCCAGTATTAACCAACTTTGTAACTGATTTTCATTTGTATAATTAACTGGTGATGCGGATGTGGATCTCCTAGTGTTGTTCTGAGTGTTATGACGTAAGTAGAGGCTGTGTATTTATTATGTCTTTAAATTGGAAGGGTTTTCTCCCCACCTTCCAGTTTTATTGAGATATAGTTGACATACAGCACTGCATAGTTTAGGGTGTACAGCATAGTGATTTGACATACGTCGTGAAATGATTACCACTGTAAGTTTATGGAAGGGGTTTTTGAAGGTACACCATAAAAGGTGGGTTTTTTTGTTTGTTTGTTTTTTTGCTGGAAAACTGCTTGGTTAAGGACAGTTGGCTTATTTCAAAATAGTTTAGGAAAATAGATGATCGCAATAAGGGTTGGAGTTATATGCTTGTGGAGAGTTTGGAGAAACACAAGGTGGTCTTATTATGGTTTTGCCTAATGTCTATTTAGAAAGAAGACGTGAAGGTACTGGAATGAGAATTAAAATACATTTGGGGGCTGAAACTGCAAGTAATGAAAATTAGGTCAAAAACAGAAATTATTTATTTTTAACAGTAGTCATCCAATTTATAATGGTAGATGAAATATTGCTTGTTGTTCCAAACTACTTTAGAGAAAGTGCCAATTTGAGAGTAATAGATTTTTTTTCATATAAGGGACATCTGTTTGTAAATTTTGAGTGAAGAAGAATGTTTGATACAACTCACTAGCATTTGTTGAGATTGATTCTTTTTTATTTTTTTGCGGTACGCGGGCCTCTCACTGCTGTGGCCTCTCCCGTTGCGGAGCACAGGCTCCGGACGCGCAGGCTCAGCGGCCATGGCTCACGGGCCCAGCCGCTCCGCGGCATGTGGGATCCTCCCGGACCGGGGCACGAACCTGTGTCCCCTGCATCGGCAGGCGGACTCCCAACCACTGCGCCACCAGGGAAGCCCTGATTCTTTTTTTAGAGCTCATATGTACTGCATACTTACTGCATAGCAGGCACTTTGCTGAAAACTGCACATACAGTATGCCAGTTACATTATAGAATACCTTCATTTGATTGATTCTGCTTATAACAAGTAGCAGAATTAAGATTCAAGCTCAGGGCTGTCAGACTCCAAAACACATGCTACTTCCATTATACCATAATGAAGTAAACAGAATTATAGAGTCCATATTTCAAAATTTTATAACCAAGTCACTCTTTAAGCGATATTTTACAGTATAATATTGGGGGGGGGAATCCTACTTTTAAGTAGTGTTACGAATTTTTATTTAAAAATATTTCTGCCGCTTTTTAATTATTTTTTAATAATATGCAAAAATTGCTGCTTTCTTCTTTTAAGATGTCTTTTCACGGATGCCACTCGTGAACGGCCTTATCGGACCCAGTCCTCATCTCGCACATAATTCTTTGCCTCCTGGAAGTGGACTGGGAACCTTCCCTGCTGTAGCGCAGCCCCCCTACACTGATGCCAGGTATTTAAAAGCCTCCACTTTCTACGGAAACGTAAATCTTTTTTGTTATATGAATGGTTATTGGTCTGAGTGATTGTGCACAGTGTTAGTGTGTTGCACTCATTGTGATCTTTGCGAAAAATCATCACATTTTAGCTATTTTGTAATAATAGGTTTAATGAAATTGTACTTGACCATAGTGCTTAGAAAGTTATTTTATGTTTATGAAGTAACGTTGTTTATTATTTGCCAGGGATAAAAATCCAGCATTTAATCCAATGGCAAGTGACCCTAATGGCTCTTGGACATCATCAGCTCCCACTATGGAAGGAGAAAATGATACAATGTCAAATGCCCAGAGAAGTACACTCAAGTGGGAGAAAGAGGAGGCCCTGGGTGAAATGGCAACAGTAGCACCAGTTCTCTACACAAATATTAATTTCCCCAACCTAAAGGAAGAATTCCCAGGTAAGTCACGGATATATCACTGTTTTACATGTGACCAGCTTTCCCAAACGTCACAGGCTTTTTTTGTTCTTGTCTCACTATAACAGAGAGCCTGTGTATCACCATTAATTTTTATCTAGTGTGACTCTGCACAATGTGAAGAATCCCTAGATATCTAGAAACATCTTGCATTTTCTTAGTCCTAAGCCCTGTACTGATTTGCATATTTCCCAGAAGTTGATTTCAATTAATGAAGTGATTCCAGCTCCTAGCAGTCTTTTTAAATACATGGAAGTCAGTGTTGTGTTATATGTGTAATTTGTACAAGAAAATTCCTAGAATAAAAAGCTTATCATTTAATCAGAAGTATTAAGTTAGGCTAAATCAGACTCCATTCTAAGTATTGTTCACATTGAAACTAACTCAGAATTATTTCCCCTTCTTCCCAACTGTCTAGCCCATTTGACAAAAGCAGATGGTACAGTGGTACCATTTTTGAGAATTCTCATTAGCAAGAGGATGAAACATTTGGATTAATGTCACTTACAGAATATTTGTAAGCAAATGCTCATTTAGTATCTTGAGTTCATGTTGCAAGACAAACTAGGATTTGAAAAGGTCACTTAAGCTTTGTCTTGTAGTAGTTTCCCAGCTGTCATATGGCTCTTTTAAATTACTAGAGGAGTACTTAAAAGTGGATTTTTTATGGATGACCCCTGTCTTTTCAGGTTTGGCCGCCTTGTAGTACTTTATTTATTATTCATAGAAATAAATGCTACCTTATCTAACAAGAAAAGTCAGTGGTTTAATGCAGGGCTGTCTGTTAAAGCAGTATACACATTCTTCAAGGGTCTTTTTTGTTTGTTTGTTTGTTTTAACCACACTTTTTATTTGCTGCTTAGAGATGAGTATATCTGGTTCTGTTAAGTCACTTAGTGTCAGTGTAAAAATTGTCCTTAGATTGGAGCTGTAGGTTTCCTTTTTTTTTTTAAGTAATTTTCTTTAATAGATGTACTGTGTGATTCTAGAACCTCATGAAATACCATGTTAAGGCTGTTGGTCTGCAGCTGATTTCTGTTTTCACTGGCTGTTTCGAAGCTTTCTTTTTATAAATATGGACAAAAGCATTTCTACATTTATTGCTAACTGTTGATCTCACCCACATTTCATTTTGTGTACTGTTCTGGCACTGAGTTTCATAGAAGTAGCTTGAAATCATTGCTTTTCCCTATCTTTGTTGTGCACAGGTGCTGATGAGATGCTTATTTTTAATAATGATAACTTCCTTTTGGTCAACTTGATAGACTTCTCTTGAGTACAGATGTTTTCCAAAACTTTTAGCTTTGGTCCTGGTAGCATCTTACATGGTTGAGGGAATTTATTATGTTTGGCTTAACTTTATCTTGGCTGCTTAGGACTTTGATTTAAAAACTTCCCAACTCCACAGGTGAGATTGTTAATGAGGCAGCACTCCATTCAGAAATATGTTTGGTCTGCTGTGTGCCAGGAACTTTATACTATACAAAGAACTAAATACAGGACTATTCATTTATGAAAATGTGGGCAGAATAAGTTTAACTGTTAGCAGTTTATCAACCTTTTGATTAAGATGCATCATTACCGTGGTTCTGTGAATGTGTCTACTGTGTTCTTCTGTTACAGACTGGACTACTAGAGTGAAGCAAATTGCCAAGCTGTGGAGAAAAGCAAGCTCGCAGGAAAGAGCACCATACGTGGTATTTAAAAAAACTCACATGTATCATGCCTTCAGACACAATATGTGAATCTTATTATTATTGTCTTAGGTTCATAAAAAGATTTCCCATTCCAAAAAACATATGTTAAATACTTGTACAACTAATAAACAGCTTTGTTTTATAGTGTTTTCCTAACTCATATGATGTCTTAATATAGAGGGTGACATTTTCATAAGCTGGTTAATAGAACCAGTGTGTTGAAGATTGAAGTCACTTATCCTAGGAGGATGTTTAACTCATTTCACTTTTAAATTGTTTTATCTCTTCGAAAGAGTACTACATTTTGCAGCCACATTAATGTGCCTCAGTTTCTTCCACAATAAGCTCTTTTTGTATTAGGTTTAGTAGAGAATTTTGAAAGAGGTATACCTGGACACCTTTAAGGAGCTTTTGAAACATGGACTTGGCCAGGAATTATTAGGGTATTTTATAAGATTCACAGTTCAGATGGTGACTTATTTTCTCCCAAAGAGCCAAATTAAGATTGTCAACTGGATCCAAATCCTTGCTTTCATTTGAAAGCATATTATATCTGCATTACCGTTTTGAAAAATATATGCACGTATTTTCTACTTTGATCTTCAGCAGACATATTGTCAGTGATAATGACTGCTTGGATAAAGCAAAAAATTTTGGTGGGGGGACGTGTTGATGATGGTTTGCTTTGTTTTACCTTGACTGGCAGAGGTAATGGCAGGATATTTTTAATATTTCTCAATGATTTTTCTTTTTTTAACGTTAAGCTTCAGGTTCCAGATTTTAGATTTGGAGGATTGATTTGGTATTTTCCTTTTCTCTAAATTGAGAGAGATATTAATCGTTCCATTTTTGAAGAGTCTGTTACAAAAATTAGGATTGAAAATATTAGATTACACCTGGGTTCTCTAGCCTGGTTCAAATAGAGAGATGGAAATATGTCTTCAGTTGAAACATGCCTTGTAAAAGGGAAAAGTGGGGTAGTGTCCAGATCTTTTCACACAAGAGGCTCTAAGTTCTCAAGATTAATATTTCAACTGTTTTCAACTACTTAACCCAACTTTTTCTTGCTTTTGTATGATAAAATTTGCCATAGTTTTATTTAATTTTAACATATACTGGGAGATAATTTTCTTCTCCTTTTTTCAAAGCAAAAAGCCAGAGATAACAGAGCTGCTTTACGCATTAATAAAGTACAGATGTCAAATGATTCCATGAAAAGGCAGCAACAGCAAGATAGCATCGATCCCAGCTCTCGTATTGATTCAGATCTTTTTAAAGATCCACTAAAGCAAAGAGAATCGGAACATGAACAGGAATGGAAATTCAGACAGGTGTGTGTTTCTGTTTCTTTAAGAATTGGCTTTTTAGGACTTCCCTAGTGGTGCAGTGGTTAAGAATCCGCCTGCCAATGGCAGGGGACATGGGTTCGAGCCCTGGTCCAGGAAGATCCCACATACCATGGAGCAGCTAAGCCCATGCGCCACAACTACTGAGACTGCGCTCTAGAGCCCGCGAGCCACAACTATTGAGCCCGCCTGCCTAGAGCCCATGCTCCACAACAAGAGAAGCCACCGCGATGAGAAGGCCGCGCACCACCATGAAGAGTAGCCCCCGCTCGCCGCAACTAGAGAAAGCCCACCCAGCAACGAAGACCCAACGCGGCCAAAAATAAAAAGATTAATTAATTAATTAATTAATTTTTTAAAAAGAATTTGCTTTTTAAAATTGAATTTTTGCTTTTTGAGAAAAGAGCTATTTATGATATAGTTTCAGCTATAGTTCTTACTACAATATAAAAATTTGATTTAAAATAGACTTTCCCTTCTCAGTAAAATATATTTAAGTTGATTTTGGGAAGTTTTAGTAAATACTATAAACGATATGCTGCCGTAGACATTCGGTATACTGGGATGGATAATAGTCTCTCCTCTTGAGGAATTTATAGTAGGGGAGCAGTCTGGAAACTGACGACATCAAACGAATAAATTTTCTGTTGCTGTCCCCCCCTGACCCGTGACAGCTATATTCTTCCTTAGCCATATGATTGTTTTTTCTTTGCTATTTCAACAGCAAATGCGTCAGAAAAGTAAGCAGCAGGCTAAGATTGAAGCCACCCAGAAGCTGGAGCAGGTGAAGAACGAGCAGCAGCAGCAGCAGCAGCAACAACAACAACAACAGCAGCAGCAGCAGCAGCAGCAGCTGGGCCCTCAGTCTCTTCTGGGGCAGTCTGGCTCGGACACGCCAAGTGGCGGTATCCAGAGCCCCCTGACCCCACAGCCTGGCAGCGGAAGTACGTCTCCTGCACAGCCCTTCCATAAAGACCTGTTTGCAAAGCAGCTGCCCGGCACCCCCACTTCCGCGCCATCAGATGACGTGTTTGTAAAACCACAAGCTCCACCCCCTCCTCCGGCGCCGTCTCGGATCTCCATCCCGGAGAGTCTGTCGCAGGCTCAGGCTTCTCAGCCGCCTTCCCCACAGATGTTTTCCCCTGGATCTTCTAACTCCCGGCCGCCATCTCCAGCAGATCCTTATGCGAAAATGGTTGGTACCCCAAGACCACCTCCTGGGGGCCATGGTTTTTCCAGAAGAAATTCTGCACTGGTGGAAAACTGTGCACCTTTACCGTCCGTATCTAGGCCCACTCAGATGAGCGAGACAGCAGCAAGTAGGCCATCCCCAGTCAGAGATTTATGTTCTTCCTCCACAGCAAGTAGTGACCCCTATGCAAAGCCTCCAGACACACCTAGGCCTGTGATGACAGATCCATTTCCCAAACCCTTAGGCCTACCCCGGTCTCCTGTAGTTCCGGAACAAACTGCAAAAGGTCCTCTAGCGTCTGGAACCAACGACCACTTTACTAAACCATCTCCTAGGGCAGATGGGTTTCAAAGACAACGGATACCTGATCCATATGCTCGACCCTTGTTGCCACCTGCACCTCTTGATAGTGGTCCCAGACCTTTTAAAGCTCCAATGCAGCCGCCCCCATCCTCCCAGGACCCTTATGGATCAGTGTCACAGGCACCAAGGCGATTGTCTGTCGACCCTTATGAAAGGCCTGCTTTGACACCACGACCTGTAGATAATTTTTCTCATACCCAGTCAAGTGATCCATATAGCCAGCCTCCCGTCACCCCACATCCGGCAATGAATGAATCTTTTGCTCATCCTTCAAGGGCGTTTTCCCAGCCTGGAACCATATCAAGGCCAACATCTCAGGACCCATATTCCCAACCTCCAGGAACTCCACGTCCTATTGTCGATTCCTATTCCCAGCCGCCAGGAACATCTCGCTCCAATCCAGACCCCTATTCTCAACCTCCTGGAACTCCCCGGCCCACCACCATCGGTCCATATAGTCAGCAGCCACCAGCCCCAAGGCCGTCTGCACAAGCAGACTTATTTGTTACATCTGCAGCTAATCAGAGACGTTCTGACCCACGTGCTCACCCTCCTGGAACACCAAGACCTGGAATTTCTGTTCCTTACTCTCAACCACCAGCAATACCGAGGCCAAGGATTTCAGAGGGTTTTACTAGGTCCTCAATGACAAGACCAGTCCTCATGCCAAATCAGGATCCTTTCCTGCAGGCAGCACAAAATCGAGGAGCAGCCTTACCTGGCCCTTTGGTAAGGCCACCTGATGCGTGTTCCCAAACACCCAGGCCACCTGGACCTGGTCTTTCAGACACTTTTAGCCGTGTCTCCCCATCTGCCCCTCGTGACCCCTATGATCAGACTCCCATGACTCCGAGATCTCAGTCTGACTCTTTCGGAACAAGTCAGGTTGCTCATGATGTCGCTGATCAGCCACGGCCTAAATCAGAGGGGAGCTTCAGTGCACCTTCCAAGTCACCCATGAATTCTCAAGGCCAGCAGTTCTCTGGTGTGTCCCAGCTTCCCGGACCTGTACCGACCTCAGGAGTCACCGATACACAGAGCACTGTAAACATGTCTCAAGCAGATACAGAGAAATTGAGACAGGTAAACAGGTTGAATGTTCTCAGACGTTTTACATGTATTATTTGAGAGTGCTGTTCATTTCATCAAATTGAGTAATTCATGTACAGCTGTTAAAGTCAATCTTTCTGTAGAATTGGTCATACTGCAAAGAAGAAAAATGAAATTGGTAAAATCAACACTGATGATTGGGCTTATTCTTTTATCTAATTTCAGTTTTCATGAGTTGGTAGGGGAATTCTTAAATATGAAAGGTTCAGTTTTGTGATAGTTGTATGGCAAGGAAAAGGACCCAAATCATCACTTTATTTTTTATAACCAATTGAATATTTAAGTGTAACTAGTGTTTTATCATACTTTGAAACTTAAGTGTAGCTAGTGTTTTATCATACTTTGAAATTTAAGTGTAACTAGTGTTTTATCATACTTTGAAATATTACTGTATTTTAAACATTACCATAGTCAAGTATCCAAAGCATTGAGACTTAAAAAGCTATTACTTTTTTAAAAGTCCCGGTCATTTTTTGTTTCTTTCTGTTCAGCGACAGAAGTTACGTGAAATCATCCTCCAGCAGCAACAGCAGAAGAAGCTGGCAGGTCGACAGGAGAAAGGGTCACAGGCCCCAGGAGCAGTGCCTCATCCGGGGCCCCTGCAGCACTGGCAGCCGGAGAGTGCCAGCCAGGCTTTTACTAGGCCTCCCCCGCCCTATCCTGGGAGCATCGGGTCCTCCATTGGCCCTCCTCTAGGACCTAGATATGCTGCTTTCCCAAAAGACCCGCGTGGACCCTGTACTCCTGATGTTACTGGTATGGGGATGAGACCTCATGGATTTAGGTAATGTGTTTAGTTTCATGACAGATTTAAATTGCTAATAGAAGGGAACATGCACGACTGAAATTATTTTGTTTGGGACCATTTTTTAATTGTAGTATAGTTAATTTACATTGTTATGTTAGTTTCACGTGTACAGCAAAGGGATTCAGTGTCTTTTATATATATATATATATATATATATATATATATATATGTATGTATGTACATATATGTGTGTATATATACATATGTATATATATTCTTTGAAATTACTCTTAATCAAGAAGTTTATGCTGTTTTTTACTTTTTGATCCCTTTGAGATATGATCAACATTATTTTTCACTAATGCGAGGCCGTGGGTTTTTCTTTAAACCCCTCAGTACTCAACAGAGTGTAAAAGCGCTCCCTTTGTTATTAAATATTAACTGTACTAGCCTTACGTCACAGCCACAGCGATGTAGTTTATCCTACCAGTCAAACCTTTAAAATGTAACTGCCATATTCCTTCAAAGCCTCCTGTGATGTGATGAGTGAGAATTATTCTCTCCTTAGATTTTTAATTTTAATTTACATGGTAAATATTTGTGGAAATTTCAAAATTGAAAGGATGTTTTCCTGTAGGAATTTTTTGTGATGAGTAGTTTCCATCTTTGAAGTGGCTAGTAGAACAATCAAAGCCAAATGTAGGCCTGAGTTATAATAAGGTATTATATTATAACATAATAATACTTTAACATATGCTTTTCGTTTTATCAGGTATAGTTTTTAGTCTAATACCTACCTCCATGTTAAAGTCTTACCCTTGTTTTCCTTTTCTCTTCTTTTGCCTGTTGCTGTTTTTTTTTTTTTTGGTTTTTTTTTTTTTTTGGAAAAAAAAAGTTTACAATTTTATTATTGTAAGCAAATTAAATTCCAATACTTTTAGAAACAAAAAGGTTGGAATTTTGGAGTCAGTCTTCAGATTTTTTGTGGTAATCCTGGTCGGATTTTTAAAGATTGTCAGACACACCCAGTCTGCTATCTTTTGTTTGTTTGTTTGTTTCTGCTTTATAACAAAGTGAATCAGTTATACATATACATATGTTCCCATATCTCTTTCCTCTTGCGTCTCCCTCCCTCCCAGCCTCCCTATCCCACCCCTCCAGGTGGTCACAAAGCACGGAGCTGATCTCCCTGTGCTATGCGGCTGCTTCCCACTAGCTATCTACCTTAGTTTGGTAGTGTATATATGTCCATGCCTCTCTCTCGCCTTGTCACAGCTCACCCTTCCCCCTCCCCATATCCTCAAGTCCATTCTCTAGTAGGTCTGTGTCTTTATTCCTGTCTTACCCCTAGGTTCTTCATGACATATTTTTTTTTCTTAAATTCCATATATATGTGTTAGCATACGGTGTTTGTCTTTCTCTTTCTGACTTACTTCACTCTGTATGACAGACTCTAGGTCTATCCACCTCATTACAAATAGATCAATTTCATTTTTTTATGGCTGAGTAATATTCCATTGTATATATGTGCCACATCTTCTTTATCCATTCAGCCGATGAGGGACACTTAGCTTGCTTCCATCTCCAGGCTATTGTAAATAGAGCTGCAATGAACATTTTGGTACATGACTCTTTTTCAATTATTGTTTTCTCAGGGTATATGCCCAGTAGTGGGATTACTGGGTCATATGGTAGTTCTATTTTTAGTTTTTTAAGGAACCTGCATACTGTTCTCCATAGTGGCTGTACCAATTCACATTCCCACCAGCAGTGCAAGAGTGTTCCCTTTTCTCCACACCCTCTCCAGCACTTATTGTTTGTAGATTTTTTGACGATGGCCATTCTGACTGGTGCGAGATGATATCTCATTGTAGTTTTGATTTGCATTTCTCTAATGATTAATGATGTTGAGCATTCTTTCATGTGTTTGTTGGCAGTCTGTATATCTTCTTTGGAGAAATGTCTATTTAGGTCTTCTGCCCATTTTTGGATTGGGTTATTTGTATTTTTGTTATTGAGCTACACGAGCTGCTTATAAATTTTGGAGATTAATCCTTTGTCAGTTGCTTCATTTGCAAATATTTTCTCCCATTCTGAGGGTTGTCTTTTGGTCTTGTTTATGGTTTCCTTTGCTGTGCAAAAGCTTTGAAGTTTCATTAGGTCCTGTTTGTTTATTTTTGTTTTTATTTCCATTTCTATAGGTGGAGGGTCAAAAAGGATCTTGCTGTGATTTATGTCATAGAGTGTTCTGCCTATGTTTTCCTCTAAGAGTTTGACAGTTTCTGGCCTTACATTTATGTCTTTAATCCATTTTGAGCTTATTTTTGTGTATGGTGTTAGGGAGTGATCTGTAATCTCATACTTTTACATGTAGCTGTCCAGTTTTCCCAGCACCACTTATTGAAGAGGCTGTCCTTTCTCCACTGTACATTCTTGCCTCCTTTATCAAAGATAAGGTAACCATATGTGTGTGGGTTTATCTCTGGGGTTTCTATCCTGTTCCATTGATCTGTCTTTCTGTTTTTGTGCCAGTACCATACTGTCTTGATTACTGTAGCTTTGTAGTATAGTCAGAAGTCAGGGAGCCTGATTCCTCCAGCTCCGATTTTCTTCCTCAAGATTGCTTTGGCTATTCGGGGTCTTTTGTGTTTCCATACAAATTGTGAAATTTTTTGTTCTAGTTCTGTGAAAAATGCCAGTGGTAGTTTGATAGGGATTGCATTGAATCTGTAGATTGCTTAATTTTGTATCCTGCTACTTTACCAAATTCATTGATTAGCTCTAGTAGTTTTCTGGTAGCATCTTTAGGATCCTCTATGTATAGTATCATGTCATCTGCAAACAGTGACAGCTTTACTTCTTTTCTGATTTGGATTCCTTTTATTTCCTTTTCTTCTCTCATTGCTGTGGCTAAAACTTCCAAAACTGTTGAATAACAGTGGTGAGAGTGGGCAACCTTGTCTTGTTCCTAATCTTAGTGGAAATGCTTTCAGTTTTTCAACATTGAGGACTATGTTGGCTGTGGGTTTGTCATACATGGCCTTTATTATGTTGAGGAAAGTTCCCTCTATGCCTCCTTTCTGGAGGGTTTTTATCGTAAATGGATGTTGAATTTTGTCGAAAGCTTTCTCTGCATCTATTAAGATGATCATATGGTTTTTCTTCTTCAATTTGTTAATATGGTGTATCACATTGATTTGGGTATATTGAAGAATCCTTGCATTCCTGGGATAAACCCCACTTGATCATGGTGTATGATCCTTTTAATGTGCTGTTGGATTCTGTCTGCTAGTATTTTGTTGAGGATTTTTGCATCTATGTTAATCAGCGATATTGGTCTGTAGTTTTCTTTCTTTGTGACATCCTTGTCTGGTTTTGGTATCAAGGTGATGGTGGCCTCGTAGAATGAGTTTGGGAGTGTTCCTCCCTCTGCTATATTTTGGAAGAGTTTGAGAAGGATAGGTGTTAGCTCTTCTCTAAATGTTTGATAGAATTCGCCTGTGAGGCCATCTGGTCCTGGGCTTTTGTCTGTTGGAAGATTTTTAATCACAGTTTCAGTTTCAGTGCTTGTGATTGGTCTGTTCATATTTTCTATTTCTTCCTGATTCAGTCTTGGCAGGTTGTGCATTTCTAAGAATTTGTCCATTTCTTCCAGGTTGTCCATTTTATTGGCATAGAGTTGCTTGTAGTAATCTCTCATGATCCTTTGTATTTCCGCAGTGTCAGTTGTTGCTTCTCCTTGTTCATTTCTGATTCTGTTGATTTGAGTCCTCTCCCTTTTTTTCCTGAGGAGTCTGGCTAATGGTTGTTTGTTTATCTTCTCCAAGAACCAGCTTTTAGTTTTATTGATCTTTGCTGTCGTTTCCTTCATTTCTTTTTCATTTATTTCTGATCTCCTCTTTATGATTTCTTTCCTTCTGCTAACTTTGGGGTTTTTTGTTCTTCCTTCTCTAATTGCTTTAGGTGCAAGGTTAGGTTGTTTATTCAAGATGTTTCCTGTTTCTTAAGGTGGGCTTGTATTGCTATAAACTTCCCTCTTAGAACTGCTTTTGCTGCATCCCATAGGTTTTGGGTCGTCGTGTCTCCATTGTCATTTGTTTCTAGGTATTTTTTAATTTCCTCTTTCATTTCTTAAGTGATCACTTCATTATTAAGTAGTGTATTGTTTAGCCTCCATGTGTTTGTATTTTTTACAGATCGTTTCCTGTAATTGATATCTAGTCTCATAGCGTTGTGGTTGGAAAAGATACTTGATACAATTTCAGTTGTCTTAAATTGACCAAGGCTTGATTTGTGACCCAAGATATGATCTGTCCTGGAGAATGTTCCATGAGCACTTGAGAAAAGTGTGTATTCTGTTGTTTTTGGATGGAATGTCCTATAAATATCAATTAAGTCCATCTTGTTTAATGTATCATTTAAAGCTTGTGTTTCCTTATTTATTTTCATTTTGGATGGTGTGTCCATTGGTGAAAGTGGGGTGTTAAAGTCCCCTACTATGATTGTGTTACTGTTGATTTCCCTTTTTATGGCTGTTAGTATTTGCCTTATGTATTGAGGTGCTCCTCTGTTGGGTGCATAAATATTTACAATTGCTATATCTTCTTCTTGGATTGACCCCTTGATCATTATGTAGTGTCCTTCTTTGTCTCTTCTAATAGTCTTTATTTTAAAGTCTATTTTGTCTGATAGGAGAATTGCTACTCCAGCCTTCTTTTGGTTTCCATTTGCATGGAATATGTTTTTCCATCCCCTTACTTTCAGTCTATATGTGTCTCTAGGTCTGAAGTGGGTCTCTTGTAGACAGCATATATATGGGTCTTGTTTTTGTATCCATTCAGCCAATCTGTGTCTTTTGGTGGGAGCATTTAGTCCATTTACATTTAAGGTAATTGTCGATATGTATGTTCCTATTCCCATTTTCTTAATTGTTTTGGGTTCATTATTGTAGGTCTTTTCCTTCTCTTGTGTTTCTTGCCTAGAGAAGTTCCTTTAGCATTTGTTGTAAAGCTGGTTTGGTGGTGCTGAACTCTCTCAGCTTTTGCTTGTCTGAAAAGGTTTTAATTTCTCCATCAAATCTGAATGAGGTCCTTGCTGGGTAGAGTAATCTTGGTTGCTGGTTTTTCTCTGTTGCTCTGTTCTGTATTTATTTGTAAATTACCTTTAGTTTTTTCTAGAATGAGGTACAATATAAATAAAAATATTTGTGTAATTTATTCATTTACTGAATCTTTGCAGATAATGCCTATCATTCTTTGTCTTACTACCCCCAGTCCTCATTCCTTTCAAGCAAATAATAGGTTAACCTGTCCAGTCATCATGCCTTTGTTTTCTCATGTGCAGAGGCCTATAAAGGCTCTCTAGTACAATTCATTAGACCTCCTACCTTCATTCAAGCATCCCCCCAAATCAACTTCATCCGTATCATAGCCTCACTAAATATAGAAAAAAGAAATAGACTCCTTTGCAACTCCAATTGTATATGCTGATTTCTAAGCAACTGATTCCATCTGCTTGGTGGCTTTGCTTTGTCTTTGTCTATGTTATCTGTTAGATCATATGCCTTTTGAGCTCGGATATGGTATTTATTATAGGGTACTTGGCAAATATTTACTTGCATATAGATACTTTATTAGTAGTTGCTAATGGTGATTATTTTGTTTTTGCTAAGTCATTGTATTTGGCAACATTAACTTTGTATCTGCGTTTAATCTAAAACTTTTCCTTTTCATCAACCTAACTCAATTCAGAATAATACTTTATATTGACTGTATGCTTTTTTAATGTCTTCTTTTAGATTTGGATTTCCAGGAGGTAGTCACAGTACCCTGTCAAGTCAGGAACGCTTCCTTGTACCTCCTCAACAAATACAAGGATCTGGAGTTCCTCCACAGCTGAGAAGATCTATGTCTGTAGATATGCCCAGGCCTTTAAATAACTCACAAACGAATAATCCAGGTGGACTTCCTCCACATTTTTCGCCACAGAGCCTGTCAGTTCAGCAGCACAACATACTGGGCCAAGCATTTATTGAATTGAGGCACAGGACCCCTGATGGAAGGCCTCGGATGCCCTTCCCTGCTTCTCCTGGCAACGTTATAGAGGTACCTTCTCATCCAAGACATGGAAACTTCATTCCCCGGCCAGACTTTCCAGGCCCTAGGCACACAGACCCTATGAGGCGACCTTCCCAAGGTCTCCCTCATCAGCTGCCTGTGCATCCAAATTTGGAACAAGTGCCACCATCTCAGCAAGAGCAAAGCCATCCTGTCCATTCATCTTCTATGGTCATGAGGTCTCTGAGCCACCCCTTAGGTGGTGAGTTTTCAGAGGCCCCTTTGTCAACATCTACACCAGCTGAAACAACATCTGATAATTTGCAGATAACCACCCAGTCTTCTGGTGGTCTCGAAGAAAAGCTTGAATCTGATGACCCATCTGTCAAAGAACTAGATGTTAAAGACCTCGAGGGGGTTGAAGTCAAAGACTTAGATGATGAAGATCTTGAAAATTTAAATCTGGATACAGAGGATGGCAAGGGAGATGAATTGGATACTTTAGGTAACTTGGAAACTAATGATCCCAACCTGGATGACCTCTTAAGGTCAGGAGAATTTGATATCATTGCATATACAGATCCAGAACTTGACCTGGGAGATAAGAAAAGCATGTTTAACGAGGAACTGGACCTTAATGTTCCAATTGATGATAAGTTAGATAATCAGTGTGTATCTGTTGAACCCCAAAAAAAGGAGCAGGATGACAAAAGTATGGTTCCTTCTGATAAACATTCTCCTTGGAAAAAATCCACTGTCAGCAGTGAGATTAAAACAGAAGTACTGTCTCCAGATTCTAAAGGGGAAACCAAATGTGAAAGTGAGAAAAGTGACGAGGGTAAAGATACTGTTGATGCTCCCTGCCCACAGGTGCCTGCTCATACAGATGCGAATGATGGGGAACAAGCTTCTTTGCAGTCCTGTGATGCAGATCCACTTGAGAAAAGAAGTAATAGAGAAACGCCTGGCTCCAACACAAGTGTTCGTGGGTCCACTCAGCTGCCTGCTGAAGATGTGATAAACTCTTGCAGCATACCTGGATCAACTCCAGTTCTCTCAAGTTTACTTGCTAATGAAAAATCTGATAATTCAGACATTAGGCCATTGGGGTCTCCACCACCAACTTTGCCGGCCTCACCGTCCAGTCACGTGTCAAGTTTGCCTCCCCCTCTGATGACACCGCCTGGTCATGCTTTGGATAATACCTTGAATTCTAATGTGACAGTAGTCCCTAGATTAAACCATACTTTCCCTCAGGGTGTGCAGGTGAGTCCAGGATTCATTCAGGGTCAGCCAACAGTGCATCGCAGTTTTGGAACAGGAAAGCCTGTGAATCAGACTGTACCTCTGACAAGTCAGTCTGCTGCCAGTGGCATGTCTGGGCCCCAGCAGCTGATGGTCCCTCAGACAGCCGCCCCGCAGAATAGAGAGAGGCCCCTCCTTCTGGAGGAGCAGCCTCTACTTCTGCAGGACCTTTTGGATCAAGAGAGACAAGAACAGCAACAGCAAAGACAGATGCAAGCCATGATCCGTCAGCGGTCTGAACCGTTCTTCCCTAATATCGGTAGGAATTCCTCGGAGTTTCAGAAATAATTACTGTGGGTATGGGGTGGGATGCAGTATGCTTACAAGATTTGTGTATTAAATTACATGTGGACTAGAGCACTGAGGGCTGTATTTCTGTTCCTCCTTCAGCTTTGAAATGAACGTGATTAAGAGTTTTAGATTCCTCCCAGGTACATCAAGAGATTCAAAACTCTGAGTTTCAGACTTTCTCAAGTCTGTCTTTTATGGGATTGTTTAATAGAAATAAATCTTTTTAGTTCCTGACTTCTAATCATTATTACCATGTATTTTCAGAGTCACTGAAAGGTAAATTTAAAGGAACTCGGCTAGGAGTAAACTTCTTCCTGTCCTATTATGCACAATGAATGCTTGGCTTTTTTTTTTTTTTTTTTTTTTTTTTTTTTTTTTAAGCTCTTTAACTTCCAATAGCTTACTAATTTGGGGAACACCCCTCCCAAATAGAACAGCAATGCAGTAAAAATACCTGAGTGCCTCTAAGAGAAAGAATTAGCAAAGGACACATGTCCAAGGAATGCTTTCTTCTAAACAGTAAAACTGACCTTCTGTCCTTCGTACATTACCAATTCCATCATATTGGTCCATTTCTTTTTTATTTATATGCAAAGAGGTCTTTTGTCAGTAGCCTATGTTTCTTGTAAGAAATTGATACATTAAGTAAAGAGTAATAACCAATTTAGTGGAATTCCTTAGTATTGGTAATAACTGCAAATTCTCATTCATGGTGGAACATTACTAAAGAAGCAATTCTGCTTAGAATTGTGAAAGTTTGTGTGAAAGGAATTGTTTTTTTTTTTTTTTTTTTTTCTTTTGGTTATGTGAAGCTCTTTAACTTCCAATAGCTTACTAATTTGGGGAACACCCCTCCCAAATAGAACAGCAATGCAGTAAAAATACCTGAGTGCCTCTAAGAGAAAGAATTAGCAAAGGACACATGTCCAAGGAATGCTTTCTTCTAAACAGTAAAACTGACCTTCTGTCCTTCGTACATTACCAATTCCATCATATTGGTCCATTTCTTTTTTATTTATATGCAAAGAGGTCTTTTGTCAGTAGCCTATGTTTCTTGTAAGAAATTGATACATTAAGTAAAGAGTAATAACCAATTTAGTGGAATTCCTTAGTATTGGTAATAACTGCAAATTCTCATTCATGGTGGAACATTACTAAAGAAGCAATTCTGCTTAGAATTGTGAAAGTTTGTGTGAAAGGAATTGCATTGCTTTAGATTACTGGTATAATCTCTCTTACATTTGACAAGCACCTTGTTTTGATTCTTGCAGTACTAACGTATTAAAAGTGTGGATCACTTAGATGGGATTAAATTCAGGATGAGGTTCTTGCCGTCTCATAATTCCTTCCTTACCTGGTATAGGACCTATAAGAGTGATTATTAAATAATAAGGAATAAGAGTCTGTAAGTTACATAATGTTTGTGATAGTTATGTTACCTTTTAGTGTCACTTGAACCAAATACTATGAAATAAGTAACTTTAAAATATATTTCTTCTTTAGATTTTGATGCAATTACAGATCCTATAATGAAAGCCAAAATGGTGGCCCTTAAAGGCATAAATAAAGTAATGGCACAAAACAATATGGGCATGCCACCAATGGTTATGAACAGGTAGGTGAAGATGTTTCTCATTCTTACTGTGCATCAAGAAATGCATGCAATTATTACTGGTTACTAGAAGGAGCGTATAGTAACTCAAAACTTGTATTCTAGGAATATGAACAATAAATATTTCAGTTGGTTGTGATGTCAGCTGAATGTGATCAAATGCAAAATGCTGTACAAATGTAAAGGTTAAATTTCCATTCGTTTCAGGGTAAACATAATAAAACATCATAGAATGGTTTGAAAGATTGACTTGATTAAGCAGGAAATCCAGGGTATTTAAGTGTATGCCTGTTTGCATACCTTTAGAATAGTTAATGCTACCCAAAAGCTGCATGGGACAGAGTTCCTTCATCCTGAATAGGTGAGGATGAGAGGATAAGCAGGAAAATAGAAATTAAACTGTTCTGTGCTGAGAAAAAAAGATAGTTTATTTCAGCCTGTGACTATTTTTTATTCCATCAGAGGACCTTTGAAAGTTAGCATTTGGAAACTTTATAAGCCTTTTCACTATTAGCATAAAAAATGGAAAATTATACATGAGAGGAGATTATGAGTCATTTGAATATCTGAATTTCTGAAATTAGGTATTTACACCCCCTAAGGGGTATTAAATAACCACAGGTAGTGTTTCTTGAGTTTTGCTCATGGACCATCATCAGAATTATGTGGTAGTTTTTTTAAAAAATACAGGTTCATTTACTCAACCACAAGCCTACTGAATCAGAATATCTGGAGATGGTGCTTGTATGTCTGTAGTTTTAGTGAGCGCCACGGGCCATTCTTATGCATATTGCTGTTTGAGAACCTCTTTCAATAGAGTAGGCAGAGAGCCTCAATTTAGCTTAATTATCTTGTTGAATGTGGATGATTATGGAATTGAATATGAAATCTACATGAATTTATGATAAACATGATCTTTCACATAAATTGGGAATCCTTAAAGGTGCTTTGTTGAGATACTTCGGAAATGGTTAAGAAGCATTTTGTTTGTTTTTGTTTTTTAAATTTATTTATTTATGTCTGCGTCAGGTCTTTGTTGCTGCGCACGGGCTTTCTCTAGTTGCGACGAGCGGGCTTTCTCTAGTTGCGACGAGCGGGGGCTACTCTTGGTTGCGGTGCGCAGGCTTCTCATTGCGGTGGCTTCTCTTGTTGCGGAGCACGGGCTCTAGGCACGTGGGCTCAATAGTTGTGACTCACGGGCCCTAGAGCGCAGGCTCAGTAGTTGCGGCGCACGGGCTTAGCTGCTCCGCGGCGTGTGGGATCTTCCTGGACCAGGGATGGAACCCGTGTCCCCTGCATTGGCAGGCGGATTCTTAACCACTGCACCACCAGTGAATTCCAAGAAGCATTGTTGAGATCAAAGAAGAGATGGTAGTTTCTAATGATTTTCATTATTTTATTTATTTATTTTTAAATACATCTGATGTGTTTCTTAGTCTGTTGCAGCTGTTAACCTTAGCGATACTCAAATTGACCATTCTTGGCCAGTGAGAGCTTATTCTAGAAGGCTCCTCAGTTTTTTTAAAAAGATTAATTATTTATTATTTAGTTTTGGCTACATTGGGTCTTCGTTGCTGCGCACGGGCTTTCTCTAGTTGTGGCGAGCAGGGGCTACTCTTGGTTGCAGTGTGTGGGCTTCTCGTTGTGGTGGCTTCTCTTGTTGCAGAGCACAGGCTCTAGGCATGCGGGCTTCAGTAGTTGTGGCTTGTGGGCTCTAGAGTGCAGACTCAGTAGTTGTGGCACACAGGCTTAGTTGCTCCGCGGCATGTGGGATCTTCCTGGACCAGGGCTTGAACCTGTGTCCCGTGCACTGGCAGGTGGATTCTCAACCACTGCACCACCAGGGAAGTCCTGATTTTCATTATTGCACAATGTCTATTAACACTATTTCTGTGTCACAGAGCTTCTTAACTTTTTTATGTCATGAACTTTTTTGACATCCCAGTGAAGCCTGAACTCCTCAGAATATTTTAATGCAAAACCAAAAACACTGGTTTTACAGAGGAAATCAATTATATTTGAAATATAGTTAAATATAAAAGTTACAGCATATGGTGCTTCTCTAATGCATTAATAAATTTGGCAGTAAGTCTAATAGCTACCATAATTTCAAAATAGTGATGAACTTAAATGACCTATTAGGTATGTGCAACAACGTTTGCTGTGAAAATAATGCGAGTTCTATTGGTGCAAAGTCACAGTACTGCTGATAATATTGTATTTTGCTGAGCATAGTTAAAATAGAAGGAAATGCTAAATTTAATTCTGTACGTACTTTAAAATATGGACCTGAGAATCAGAACCCCTGCTCCTTCAGCATCATGTCTATATCACTCAGGTACACTGATCTGTTAGTCATCAGGTGTGGTGTTAGCCCTTCTGCTGAGCACTTTGAAGAAGTAGAGGTGATGGTCCTTCCTTCAAGTGGTGTCATAAATTGACTGAGGGTGATAGACAGTGAGTGCTTTTGGGATTATGAGGTTATTCCACACCAGGGCTGTAGTGGAGCCAGGGGGTAACAGATGAATCAAAAAGCTGAGTAAAAAAATTAAAAAGCATATGTTCCAAATTATGATAGTACTCAGATATTAAGGTACAGTGTTTGATAAATAATTTTCAAAATATAATCTTGTTATGTTGATGCATTTGGTAATTCTAGGGGCAGTGTTTTCATCAAAGCAGTAATGTTTCTGTGAAGTATTTAATTAGAGTAAGTAACGTTTTGCCAGATACTTTGAACCATATAGACTTTCTCTTGGTCAGTGACCAGGTTTTGGTTTGCTTTAACATTTAGATATAAAAATGTATGAAACTTTTTTCTTTTTATTTATTTTTTTCACATCTTTATTAGAGTATAAATGCTTTATTTACAATGTTGTATTTGTTTCTGCTGTACAACAAAGTGAATCAGCCATATACATACATATATCCCCATATGCCCTCCCTCTTGAGCCTCCCTCCCACCCTCCCTATTCCACCCCTCTAGGTGGTCATAAATCACCGAGCTGATCTCCCTGTGCTGTGCAGCAGCTTCCCACTAGCCATCCATTTAAAAAAATGTATGAAGTCAGAATGGCCATCATCAAAAAATCTAGAAACAACAAATGCTGGAGAGGCTGTGGAGCAAAGGGAACCCTCTTGCACTGCTGGTGGGATTGTGAATTGGTGCAGCCACTATGGAGAACAGTACGGAGGTTCCTTAAAAAACTACAAACAGAACTACCATACGACCCAGCAATCCCACTACTCAGGCATATACCCTGAGAAAACCATAATTCAAAAAGAGTCATGTACCAAAATGTTCATTTCAGCTCTGCTTACGGTAGCCAGGACATGGAAGCAACCTAAGTGTCCATCAACAGATGAATGGATAAAGAAGATGTGGCACATATATACAATGGAATATTATTCAGCCATAAAAAGAAACGAAATTGAGGTATTTGTAATGAGGTGGATAGACCTAGAGTCTGTCATACAGAGTGAAGTAAGTCAGAAAGAGAAAGACAAATACCGTATGCTAACACATATATATGGAATCTAAGAAAAAAAATAAAATGTCATGAAGAACCTAGGGGCAAACGGGAATAAAGACACAGACCTACTAGAGAATGGACTTGAGGATATGGGGAGGGGGGAGGGTAAGCTGTGACAAAGCGAGAGAGTGGCATGGACATATATACGCTACCAAACGTAAAATAGCTAGCTAGTGGGAAGCAGCCTCATAGCACAGGGAGATCAGCTCGGTGCTTTGTGACCACCTAGAGGGGTGGGATAGAGAGGGTGAGAGGGAGGGAGACGCAAGAGGGAAGAGATATGGGAACATGTGTATATGTATAACTGGTTCACTTTGTTATAAAGCAGAAACTAACACACCATTGTAAAGCAATTATACTCCAATAAAGATGTTAAAAAAGTGTATGAAACTTCTTAGTTAAGATACATCTTTTGTTTTAGGATGCAAAAAGTTTTTGTAAGCTACCAACATTTTTTTTTTTTTTTTTTTTTTTTTTTTTTTTTGTACGGGGGCCTCTCGCTGTTGTGGCCTCTCCCGTTGCGGAGCACAGGCTCCGGATGCGCAGGCTCAGCGGTCATGGCTCACGGGCCCAGCCGCTCCGTGGCGTGTGGGATCTTCCCGGACCGGGGCACAAACCCGTGTCCCCTGCATCAGCAGGCAGACTCTCAACCACTGCGCCACCAGGGAAGCCCCCAGCTATTTTTAAATAAAGATTGGAATAAATAGTTTTAGTACATAAATTCTAAGAAAGCTGTCTTCATTATATTTTTCATCTAAAAGGCTTGAGTTAATTTTAAGGTATAATGAGACTTATAACAGCGTGGAACCTCTGGAACAGCCTCATTGACATTGCTGCCCCATTCATCACTGTGGGGAAAGTACTTAATCTCTCTGAATCTTCCTTTTCATCAAAAGTAAAATGAGGGTAGTAAGAATCCACACTTCACAGAATTGTGTAGTGAGGTTGGGACACAAAAAACAGGGCTTTAGTAAATGTTTTTGATGAGGAAGACACTGCCATTACTCTTTCTTCTCTGGAAGAGAAAATTGTTAAGCACTTAAAAATAATGTTAGTTCCAAATGCTTATCATTTGATGCTTAGTACTTCCTTTTCACAGGTTCCCCTTTATGGGCCAGTCGGTGACTGGAACACAGACTGGTGATGGCCAGACTCTCCTTCCACAGGCAGTTACTCAGGTACTGCTGCTTGTAACTAGTCACTTAAGAATGCACGTTTTCCTGTGTCTCTCGCTATTCTTTATGGTGAGGCCTCTTCCAAAAAATAGTAGAAGTCCTAGAACACTGCCAGGATGTACCAATGTTATCAGCTCAGCAGAAATAAAGACATTTTGTTATTTTTTAAGGGAAAGACAAAGTTTAAAAATTGACAATTTCTGAAAAGGATCTACATATTTAAGGGTAGAAGGTCACTTGGAGGGATGCCAAATGCTTAGGGTTTGGGGGTTTGCTTTTATTTACTTTCAACCCCACGGAGATATTTTCATGTCTTGCATTTTAGAATTCATTCATTACATTTAAATGTAAAACTGCTATAAAATGTAGAAAATAATGATTATAATCATTTTATTTAGATACAGATAGTCATGTTCTACAGTTTATTCCTTGGAATAATTTAGCTTTTGAAATATTTACTGTTCACAATAATCAGCTTTAAAAAGTGTAAATATTTAAATATTTAGTGTCAAGCAATATCCAGGAAAGTAGAACTGCTCATTTCATACTGTGTTTTCTTCTTTTTTTTTTTTTCAAGTATCTGCCTGGGTGGGGGGAAGAAAGAGAGAAAGCTACCTATTTTCTTTATGTCTTTTTGGCACTTTCTTTTTCGCCCTGCCAGTTAACGCTTGAGATTTATTAGGCTGATAATTATATTCTTTTGATTAAAACAGAGAGACCATCTGACACAATGGAAAAGCATAGGCTTCATAGCTGAGTTTTAAAATAATCTGAGTTCCACTATGAGTTTATTGTGCAACTTTGGGCAAATTTTTTAACTTCTGTTTCCTGATCTGTTAAATGTTACACCACCTGCTTTGCAGTATTATATGGTTTACGTGTAGTGTATTCTGGGTGCTGGTATCATTTTTAGTCATTACCTTGTATACAGCTCATACCTAACAGAATTTGTGACAACTCAGGAAAGGCTTTTTCAAAGGTAATTCTGTTTATCAGGCTGTTGCCAGGGAATTGTGAGATGATAACTATTTGGTCTCCCTGGAAGATATAAGACATTTAATGAGAAAATAAGAGTAACATTTTTAATTAGTATATATTTGTTTTATTATTTGTGTCTGTTAGAGATACTGGTTTTTGTTCATAAATAACTTTGTGGAGTGGAATTTAGTAAATCTGGAGCCCATGTTTCAGTCTTAGTTGCAGAAGAAACCAGGTAGATTTCATCAAAAAGTGGGGTTTTACATGGATCTTTAGCTAAGTATAATACTAACGCTATTTGATTTGCCCTACTATTATATTTCTGATGAATAACCCCTTCAAACATAATTGTTTTTCAACTGAAATCTAGCAAATATAGCAGTTCAGAGATAGTTTAAAATGTTCAGAAATTAGGTTGTCACCACAAAATTCATTCTGCTTTTTATAAAAATGAAAGTTTTAAAGATGTCATAAGAAATTAAAGTTCTTTTCCCTTTCCATTTCTTTTTTTCTATTTCATTTTTTAAAAGTTTTTTTTCCCCTTGAACTGAAATGTGGAATAAACCTATTTGTAAATTTTACTTATTTTAGGATGGCAGTATAACACATCAGATTTCTAGGCCTAATCCTCCAAATTTTGGTCCAGGCTTTGTCAGTAAGTATAAATCTAATTAGTTACCTGTTCTCTGGGGATTGCTTGTTTGCACTATGTTTGTGTTCTTTTTAAATCTTGGAGTTAGTTTAGGTGTGTTATTTTAAGTCGAAGTGCCCTCATCTTTTATTAAACATCACTGCCCTATTAGGCATCTTTTCCTCAAGGCATGTATTTCATTGCTTTTTTTTCTGTGCATGAATAATTATGGTTAGAGATAAATATTTTAATACAGAAAAATCATCTTCCCCATTCTCTTCAGTGTTGCTGCTATTTTTTGTATATAGATTGGGCACTTTACAATCTATAGAATTAAATCACTTCTTTTCTAATGACTGTCTGCCTAAGTGACAAGGACACTAAATGGGAGCAACAAAGGGAAAGATAAGCTGGGTTAGCAGCATGGTGTGAGGTCAAGGATGCAGGATGCCATTGATCCTTTCTAGTTACTTTCAGGGGTCCCAAGGTGGTTCAGGATAGCGTTTAAAGTTCTCCCCAGACTGAACCTTTCTGAAATCTTCAGACTGTTTAGCTAACTTTTTTTTCACCATTATTTTTCATTTTGCTCACCTCTGCTCTCCTGGTTCCAGAAACCAGAAAGGCTTTCCTTGCGGTAGGTCTCATTCTACCAGAAGCAGAACTTCTGAAATCTTGTGAAAAAGCCTGTTCTGAAAAATGCCCTTCAAATTTAGTAGACTAGATTTCAAGTTCATACATGTACTGGAACTTCTGGGTTTAAGAACAAACCCAAAGTCTGACCTTTTGAAATTACCCCTGCACTAATTATTATAATTTGCATACATATTCGCATTAAAAACAAGTAAACAACTGTAACCAACTGGCTTTTTCTGGCTTTATTGTGCCCATTGGCTTTGGTTGGATTCTTATTGTATGACAATATTCTGTTATCATTGATGTAATTTTTCAGCTAATGTCCTTCTTGGAATTGTATTTATTTATTTCTTTGTTTTAAAGTGAGTCAAAAAGGTATATTCTGAATTTCACAACCATAAGGTGATTTTTTTTTTTTTTTTTTAACTTGGCATCAGTGAAGTAAAGTGCCCTTAAAGAATTAAGAAGGAATATTGCTACAAGATGAAGAGATACGACTATTTGGGGAGATATTAATGACAGTCATACAAGTAGAGAAGATTTTACTTGATTAATGGCTTATTTATAGACACATAAATGACGAAATTCATAAAAATTACCAATGTTTTTAACTTACGGATTTCCTCTATAAAACAGACTTCATTTTGGTCCTTTCTAAAGCTTTCTATGTTCCCTCCCTCATAGTTTAGGACATACTTTCACCATTTAGAAATAGGGAAAACCCATAAACTTAGGGAAATTAGCATGGGAAATGATACCTAAGCCATGCTCTGGACCTTAATAGGTTATGTCTTACTTTGTCTCTTCAAAATCTGTAAAGTTGAATTAATCAAATACAAGTATAGTTCAATATATAGTTTGGCTTATGGGTTAGAGAATTTGATAGTTTAGTAGATAAATAGTGTTCCATTAGATAAGTCTTTTGCTTTTCAAAGATTGGGTTTATAATATTTATAAGTATGAAGTTAGCCTGTGTCCTAAGAACATGCATTCTTTGGTTTTCTTAAATATTTCTCCAAAATCTTATACTTTATATAGTTATTTACTATTATGTTTTCAAAATATCTATTACAAGGTCATGATGAAACTGTTTCCTTACAAAATGGATTTGTGTAACTTACATTGGACTCTTTAGAAAATTAACACAGGTGAATTTCAATTTTTTTCCTCAGATGACTCACAACGTAAACAGTATGAAGAATGGCTTCAGGAGACCCAACAGCTTCTTCAGATGCAGCAGAAATATCTTGAAGAACAAATCGGTGCACACAGGAAATCCAAGAAGGCCCTTTCAGCTAAACAACGTACCGCCAAGAAAGCTGGGCGTGAGTTTCCAGAAGAGGATGCAGAGCAGCTCAAGCACGTCACTGAACAGCAAAGCATGGTTCAGAAGCAGCTAGAACAGGTAATAAATAGGTTTGCAAAATAGAAGCAGTTGTTAATGCATAGAATTTTTGGTCTGTCATTGATTAATTGTAAAGGATTTCGATTGGTGTTAAATGGCACACAGAAGTGCACTGTCAAAAGTGACAGCTCTGAGACCTCTTACTAACTGAAGAAATAACCCCTGTCCTTGCCCCAGAGTCACACAGCACGTACTTTGAGTAAGCGCCACTGATGAGATAAGTTCTCATAATCCTGACCTAGAAGAACTGTTCTCATACTGGTATAGCCAATACAGCTGGGGAAGTTCAGTTACTTTCCCTGTTCTGAGAAATCACTGCATAGTCTCAGCTTTCCTGAGGACAGCTCATGGGGAGATCATAGGCTTTCTGCTTGGAGTTGACCTTTGCTTTGCCATGTCCTTTGGTTCCTTAGTTTCTAATGGAATTTCAGATAGAGCGTTGGAATCATTCTGGTGGGGGTTTTCTTGTTTTGTTTTTCCCCATAGTATGTTTTTATTAGTATTCCTTCTCAATATCATTTCGGTCTTAAAGTACATTGGTGTATCTTATGTAAAGGACTCATCCTGAAAAATGAGATCATTTTGCTGTTACCTTCCATTATGAACCTGATGTTTGTGAAAATGCACATACTGAAATATCAGTTATACTCAAGAAGAAGTAAAATTTAAAATTTTTATTTAGTGTTCAAAATGTGTTAAGTGGCCACTCCTAGGTATTTACTCAATGAATTAAAAACTTAGGTTCACACACAAACCTGTACACAAATAATTGACTGCATCTCTAACACACTCACCAAAAACTGGGAACCCCTGGACTGTCCTTCAGTGTCTTGACTGTGGTGATGGCCACACTAATCTCCACCCATGTTAAAGTTCATAGAATTGTACACCAAAAAAGGTCAATCTTGCTTTTGATTGTCAATTTAAATCTTACTCCCAATGTTAATAGTGGAAAGGGAGGAATTCAGAGCAGATTGAATCAGTAAAAATCACAGAAGTGCTTTCTGTGTAGTGAACACAGTTACATGCCCTGTCTTACCTGACGTTCTCTATAACCTTATGAACAAGGTAGTATTATCACCATGTTACACATGAGGAATCTGCTGAGTCATTGTGGAGGTAGGTGACATAACTGATCATTGGAGTAAGCATTTCAACTGTGGCGTTTTATCTCCAAGCTATGGCTACCACAATAATGTCCCAACAATAAGCTGATTACAGTATGATTTCCATTGTTTAAAACCAGGACTATTCCGGAATGAGAGGTTTCCTTTCTCTTTAAATTTACTTTCTGGGGCCGTGTTTATTTCAAGTAAAAATGCTTTTAAGGATTTCTTTATAACTTATTTTTAGCCTTTTTATTGCCTTCTGGTATTTTTATATAAATTTTTTATGACGAGGGCCTAGCTTTTTTGCATATCCATGGATCAAATCCTGTTTAGAAGGTAATACTATACTTGGAAAATAGGACACATCATCTGCTACAACATAGTTGCCAGCAGTCCAGTGTAATCTTATTAAGATAAGCAATTCATGACAACGTTTTAAAGAGAATTTTAAAATGTCATGGCAAAGGCATGGATCACCACCTTCTGTATTCCAGTTAGTGTTCTGGTGCTTTATGTACGTTCATACTCATTCGCCAGTCCGATGGTAATTCCTCAGTTCTAGCTAGTAAGCCAGTCAGGAAAGAGAAGAAAATAAGTAGGAGTTGCCGGCTACAGGAAAATAGACCAGAACCATTATGTGCAGAGAATATGCTAGTCTGCCTGGGAAACTGTTGAAAATAAGTTGAAAACCTATCAGAACTGGCTCAGTGTACTAGTACAGTACACAAAAATTGAGTGATTTTGGAGGGTATGTACATCATCTTGCACCCCTTTCTCCCAGCTCCCTAAGTGAGGTGGTGTGTCCTTAGGACACGGGTTGTATCTTCATTGAGATTGGTCTGTAGCATCTGCCCATGGGGGTACAAAGGCTTTTGGGGATTAATTAACTGACAGAAGTCAGTCATTATATTAGGAGCCTCTTAGGAACTGTTCAAAACATTACCTCAGAGCTTTTACATATTTCAGAAATTATAATTTGAATATGTTACCCATTAAATTCAAGGAGTTTTATTACCAATCTAGTCTTTTTAACCTGGAGGGGAGGGTGTGGTATATGTACAGGTAATTCATCTTGTCTTAACATGTTGTACACTTTTGTATACTTAAGAAATGAAATCTTAACACGTTTAAATGGTTTGAGTTAAATCTCACAGTTACTCTAACCTTATATATTAATGTAACTTCTAAAGAAGTTAACAATTAGCTGATTCCTGTGTAGCCTTTGTTTATTGTTTTATTTTTTATATGTAGTTTAGTTTATGATTCAGAGAAAGATTTTCTTAAATATTTATTTCAGAAAAATGTTTTTCACATTTGTTTTTGTTATTTCATATTTAGAAACATGCTATTATTGAAAAGCTTGGCAGTTTTAGTTGATCAGTCCTTCCTTCCTTTTTTTTCCCCCCCTTGGTGATTTTTGCCATCGCCTAAGCAAGATATTTTTGCCTCTGCCTGATCTAACTGCCTTCTCTATAACCTCCACCATAATCGTCAGCCAGTGTTTTTATTTGATACCCGTAGCACATATAAACGAGTTAAGATTTAATTTTGCTCTTCCAGATTCGTAAACAACAGAAAGAGCATGCCGAGTTGATTGAAGATTACCGGATCAAGCAGCAGCAGCAGTGCGCCATGGCCCCGCCCACCGTGATGCCAGGTGTCCAGCCCCCGCTGCCCCTGGTGCCAGGTGCCGCCCCGCCCCCCATGAGCCAGCCCAGCTTCCCCATGGCGCCACTGCAGCTACAGCACCAGCAGCACACCACGGTCATTCCCGGCCACACGAGCCCTGCGGGAACGCCCAGTTTGCCCAGTTTCCCTGGGTGGCAGCCTCCCGGTGCTCCTTCCCGCCCCCCCCTCAACCCTCCTAGGATTCAGCCTCCAGTGGCCCAGTTACCAATAAAAACTTGCCCCCCAGCCCCAGGGGCAGTGTCAAATGCAAATCCACAGAGTGGACCGCCACCACGGGTGGAATTCGATGACAATAACCCCTTTAGTGAAAGTTTTCAAGAACGGGAACGTAAGGAACGTTTACGAGAACAGCAGGAGAGACAACGAATCCAGCTCATGCAAGAAGTAGACAGACAGAGAGCTTTGCAGCAGAGGATGGAAATGGAGCAGCACGGCATGATGGGCTCAGAACTAAGCAGCAGGACACCTGTGTCCCAGATTCCATTCTACACTTCTGACCTTCCTTGTGATTTTACGCAACCTCCAAGACCCCTTCAGCAGCCTCCACCGCAGCAACAGCCAGCGGGGCCGGTTTTACAGCAGCAGAACCTACAGCAAGGGTCTATTAATTCACCGCCCACCCCAAATTTCATGCAAACCAATGAGCGAAGGCAGATGGGACCTCCCTCATTTGTTCCTGACTCACCGTCAGTTCCTGGTGGAAGCCCAAATTTCCATTCTGTGAAGCCGGTACATGGAGGTGTTCCTGGGGCCAGCTTCCAGCAGTCCCCGGTGAGGCCTCCTTTTACACCCACTTTACCTGCGGCACCTCCAGTGGCTAATAGCAGTCTCCCCTGTGGCCAAGACCCGGCTGTAAGCCGTGGACAGAGTTACCCAGGATCAGCCCCGTCTCTCATTCAGCTGTATTCTGATATAATCCCGGAAGAGAAAGGGAAAAAGAAGAGAACAAGAAAGAAGAAGAAAGACGACGATGCGGAATCTACCAAGGCACCTTCTACTCCCCATTCAGACATAACTGCTCCACCAACCCCGGGTGTCTCGGAAGCTGCCTCTGCTCCCGCAGTGAACACACCTGGCGAGCTCCCTCAGCAAGGAGAACCCGAGGCAGCGGAACCGGGCGGCCTATCACCTCCTGACCCGGCAGCGGGCCCACTGCACACAGAGCCAGAGAATGAACTGCCCAGTGGTGACTTCGCACGAGGAACCCCAGGTCAACAGACCTGTGCGAGTTCAGAGGTGGATAAGCGCCCCATTGATGCGCCTGCCCCCACTGGGGAGATGAAACTGGAGTCAGCTGAGCCGGAGCAGCGCCCGGGCCCAGATGGGCCTGAACTGGAGGAGCGCCCTGGGGATCGGGCCAAAGAAAGGGCTGTGGCCGGCGCTTCCTGCCCGGGGCAGAGTCCTCCCCGACCTGCCGGCGCTCCTGCTGCCAAAGGAGATTCAGGCAATGAGCTTCTAAAGCACCTGCTGAAAAATAAAAAGGCATCTTCCCTTTTAAATCAAAACCCGGAAGGGAGTTTTTGTTCAGAAGATGACGGTACGAAGGATAACAAACTGGTTGAGAGGCAGAATCCAGCTGACGTGGTAAGTGTGGCTCAGGAGAACAACTTGCTTTTTTCCCCTTTTATTTTAAATTATGGTTACAACAGATTAGTGCCAACTGCTGTATTGATTTCAACGCTATCTTATAACCTTTTTACTCTGGAGTAAAAAAACGCAGACCTAATGTTTTGGTTTATACCTATAAACTATATCAAGTAATAATTTGTTTACCGTATCTTTCAAAAATCAGAGATCTGTAGGGTCATACGTTTCATACGTAACATATTCCTGTCAGCTGATTATCACCACATTGAGTTGATCTAACTAAAACAAGGAAGTAAACATCTACATGTCCTAATTGCAAATAGAGTGCAGTTTCCATTAACCTCTTTGAAATACAGAAAATAGCTCACGCACCCTGTTAATACCCTCGGGGACTCTCAGGAATGACCCATATTGGGAATCCATTCTGTTGCAAAGTATTAATACTTAATGTTATACAAACACAGTTTTACAGGTAGATGCTATTTTATCTTTGTGGTTTTCCATGTGTCGATATTTTGCCCTTTTAAGTGTTAGACTTCTTTTTTTTTTAATTTTTATTTTTTTGGCTGTGTTGGGTCTTTGCCGCTGCACGCGGGCTTTTTCTAGTTGCAGCAAGCGGGGGCCACTCTTCGTTGCAGTGCGTGGGCCTCTCCTTTTGTGGAGCACGGGCTCTAGGCGCACAGGCTTCAGTAGTTGCGGCGCGCGGGCTTAGTTGCTCTGCAGCATGTGGGATCTTCTAGGACCAGGGATCGAACCCGTGTCCCCTGCATTGGCAGGTGGATTCTCAACCACTGTGCCACCAGGGAAGTCCCCTTTTTAAGTTATAGAACATTGGATTTGCTTTTGTTTTTTCATTTGTATGAAGAACTTTGTTGTAAATATACCTTTACAAGATTCGATCTCCTGCATTTCAGTGAACTTCCTTGACGTATTTCCCAAACTGGGGTTTTCTAGGTTGTAGGAATTGGTTAACTTGTTTTATCTTTCAAATGCTACACTACCCTGGCTATTGTGTTCATAAAGCTTTCCCTATAGTGCTTCTCAAATTAGATTTTAAATTTTTCATTTTTTTAATTGAATGAGGTGGAGTGCTATATTTAGTTGTCCAAATTTGTAGTTTTAAGATTGTTAGTGAAGCCATTTGTTTTGCAAGTATTGGCTTGCTCTTTGTTTTCTCTTATTTGTCTGATTCAGTAGAGGTTGAGTGGTAACCCAGTAGAGTCATGTAATTTTTGTAAATTTTGGTGGTGATAACTTTTTCAGTCATATTTGTCATCAGCAAATAGGCCTGATCTCTAGCTACTTTGTCCATTGCATCCTCTGCCCCTAGGAATACTGGGCTACTTGCAGTCCCTGAGTCTCTTTCTGATTTTACCCTTCCATATATGGCCACATGCTGCTGTTTCTGCCCTTTCTTTTTTTTTTTTTTTACATCTGGCCAATATCTGTATCTTTTAAGACTCAGTTCTGGAATCGTCTTCCCCAGATACCTTACTCAGCTCAGCCAGTCTCAAATAAGTGGATGCCCGTGTGCTTACATAGCAGTTTCTCTAGTACCACTGAACAAAGATGGCTCCTTGAAGGGTGTAGACTGCGTCCTGAGCACCTTTCTGTCTCTATGCCTTTCTATCTCAATACCACATAGTTGGTACTCGGTGGAGTGAAGTCAGGTCCTAATACTAGTGATTATATGTAAAAAAATATTTATATTGTGTGTTATGATAGAAAAAGGGATGAGATCAATTAGTATATGTATAAATGTTTGGACTGTGTCACATGTTCTCATATCCCTCTGGGAGGGCAGCAAGGGGTGGGGGCCCTGGATTACTAAGGGTGATGCCTTCTTAACCACATTCTAGGGGTTACACTGTGCTCAGCGCTTGCCCTGAGGTACGGCAGGCACAATTATTATTCCCGTTTTACAAATGATGAAATTCATTTACTTTCTAGTCACACTTAAGGCAGAATTGTTGTGGCAGTAGCTGGACAGGCCCAGTTTTTCCTCCGTGCTGAGGACATGCGTTTTCTCACACATAAGTTGGTATTAGTTGTAGTGTAGGGGTAAAGCCTTGGGAGGCTTTGAGAGCTCACATCACTCAGCTTGTGTCAAATCCATGTTCCATCTCTTTCCAGCATGCAGCCTGGGCAGGTCAGGCTTTCTGTGCCTCAGTTCCCTCATCTGTAAAACAGGATTAATAATGCTCCCTGTTACTGGGTTGCCACAGGGATTAAAGGAATTAGAGTATACCTTGTGCTTGTGACATTAATAAAAGGTGGTGCATACCCATGACTACCAATGACATCTAGGAATCTGGCAAGAGGAACGTAAAATTCTAATATGTGCAAAGGTGTGACCACATGAATAGCCAGTGAATGACTTTATCTTTACTAATAGATAAAAATGAGAGAAAACAACCTAAATCCACTACTGTAGTTATTGATTGGATTATTGTTTCTGTATATCTATATCTGAATATACAGATTTTTTGCAGCCATTAAAATTTGTTATGTATGAATGTTTAATGTCACGGGGAACAAACCACATGCCAAGTTTAAAAGGCAGCCACCAGAATAAAAGAATATTGAGTGTGATTCATTGTGTTTTTAACAAAATACATGTAGGCATAGATAAAAGATCGAAAACAAATACATTAAAACGTGAACGATTCCTATCTCGGGCAAACTTTTGGATGACTTTTAATCTTCTGTGTTCTCCTGTAATTAAAAGTATTCTTTGAACTGTAGTAATAGCTGCTTTTTAGGGAAGTTGGGAGGATGGAGAAGTCTGCTCAGCACTTACAGTGCCTGTGGCCCTGCTGCACACCTAGTAAGCGGTTGAATTGTTCTTCTCTTATAAGCCGGTAAGAAGTGCTCGGGCCTTGCTCTGTGCTACTCACAGTGCAGTCCTTGAGGACTGGCGGCAGCGGCCTTACCTGGGAGCTTTTCAGGAAGCGGGATATTGTGCCCCCAGCACAGGTGTACCAGTCAGAAGGTGCTTTTTAACAAGATTGCAGGTGATTCGCATTCACATGGACATGAGAGGTGCAGCTCTAGGCCAGGGTTCTCTGAACTTTAATGTATCAGAATCACCTGGAGGGCTTGTTAAAGGTTTGGATTCAGTAGGTCTGGGGTGGGACCAGAGAATGTGCATTTCTAACCATCCTAGGTGGAGCTCATTCTGCCACTCTGGGGACCACCCTTTGAGAACCATCGATCTAGCCCTGGGATGGGCACTGTGTTCCTGCTTCCATATCCCCTCTTTTTTGTATGAGCCAGGAATGGTTTTTACACTTTTTAATGGTTGAAAAAAATCTGAAACAGAGTAGTGTTTCACAACATGTGAAAATTATATGAAATTCAAGGTTCAGTGTCCATGAATTTAAAACATCTTATTAGACCATAGCCTAGTTCATTAGTTTATGAATTGTCTGTGGTTGATTTTGCAGTACCAGGGCAGAGAGTCGGGTAGCTATATTTACTCTTTGGCCTTTTACAGAACAGTTTTGCCATCCATGCTCCAAGTCATTTAGATATATATAAATGGAAACTATAATCTGCAAACCCTCAAAGAGTCAATGCAGAGCACATTAAAATAAGTTTAGCAACTATAGTTGCCTATAGCAAAGTATAGCTGTCAAGTTTGGAAATAGTGGCCCCTAAAAATAGTCCCATATTTTTAAGTATTAATAGTACTACCCTTAAAAACCTCTTTAAGGACTGGTTTGTTCTTCGCCATAGAGACAAAAGCAAAGAAAAGGCTTATTTGCTATCATATAGGTCCTCTTTCATTGACTTTAAGTATGTAGCAGTTATTATTCAATCAGATGTATGACCATGAACTAATTTGAATGAACAATGTTGTTTGTTTTTAGTGATCTCTGAGGCTAGCTGTTCCTCTCAACTGAGATGCATGGGCTGTGAAACTTTTCTGGAGCTTAGCAATGGTGCCCGCATACCTTGTATTTCACCCATTCCTAAGGAGAGCCCAAATAAGGCCCCAAGACCACCATGCAGAGACCACCACAGCCATCTAGCTAAGAGCACCCCTTCCTCCACAGCTGCCAGTGGGCAGGAATAAGGAGCTCCAGGCTGTCACTGGCACAAATAGGGGCAGGCCTGAGGAGTAATGCTTCCTCTGAAAGGGAGAATAGCCACACTTAAGAGTTCTGCTCTCTCCTCAAGCTTTGCAGCTTACTGATTTCCATACTTGAGAATCATGTTTCAAAAAAGGGATGCTGTTTTCAGAAAAGAGGCCATTTGATGCCACCCATTTTCCCTCCTTAAGTTTGGGTGCCCACGTTAGGAACATTGTGTCTTAGGATGGAACTGGATTAGCAGGAGCTGGAATTCAAGCGTGTGGATGGTTCACTTATTTCTTAACCTTTCCAATTACATTAGCAAACTTTGGGGGCTCAAGTGCAAGGTGGTTTTGGATGTGGCAACAGCCAGTTGCCAAAAACAGATGGAGGAAGTGAAACCAAGAAACAGCGAAGCAAAAGGACTCAGAGGACCGGAGAGAAGGCAGCACCTCGGTCGAAGAAAAGGAAAAAGGAAGAAGAGAAACAAGCGATGTTCTCTGCCACCGACACCTTTACCCACCTGAAGCAGGTGAGTCTTTTGGAGCAGCCCCTTTAAAAATGCAAGGAAGTGAGACATCAGGAGCTTTTTCAACCCTGTTAAAATGAAACTTTCCCAAAAGTAGAGAGTTAAGGGGTAAAAGACATCTCAACAAGCAACCTAATAGATTTCCTATGTGCAAGCAAACTTGCACCTTATCCTACTGGCACCCAAAAATTTTAGTAAAATAGATGGATTGGTTGGCGCTGGTCACGATTTACTTATGTTCAGAGGGAGCAGCCTCAGCACCAAGAAAAATTCCATCCACGTTACTTGTGACTCCGGATGCAAAGAAACACAGGCATTGGTCTCTCCCCCTAGTAGAGTGCATTCTTACACCTTTGTGGCTGTTACAGAAGGTGGGAGACAGCTGCTGAAGAGTGCCGCTGGGGGCACCTAGCCTCAGTTCAGCCCTGATTCTTGCTGAGCGAAGATAAGGAAGGTGTTTTTCTTGTTAGAAGCCTGGCAGCATCCCTTTAAGACAGATGAGAATAAGGCTCATTTTTAAGTATATCTCAAAGATTCCTTAGTCTCTCTCACTTATTCCAGCATTTTGATACTTGAAATTTTTAAGTCTTATTTTTCTCAAGCCTTATTTAACTAAGTTGCCTTGGGTCTTAGAAAAATAGAGAGACACTTGTTTTGTTTATCGTGTACATTACTCTTAAATGTGTTTTTCAATAGCAGCTCTCTCTGCTCCCTCTAATGGAACCAGTCATTGGAGTGAACTTTGCCCACTTTCTTCCTTACGGCAGTGGCCAGTTTAATAGTGGGAATCGACTTCTAGGAACTTTTGGCAGTGCTACCCTTGAAGGGGTTTCGGATTACTATTCTCAGTTGATCTACAAGGTATGTTTCTTTGCCAAGGTGTTACCTTGCTTCCTCTTTGGATGCCATTATCAGAATTGGTAGAGCTTGTCTTGTTTTTCCATCTAGTTTACATCTATCTAATCTTCCAAGTTCCATTTAAACTCTAGTTCAACTAAAAGGTTAAAATTTTACCAGGTAAAGTGTTTCCAATATGAACATTTGAAATTGTTGTATAGGTCAGAATACAAATTGTGAAAAACATCCATTGTATATTTCTATGGTAGGGAAAATATTTATTTTCCTATAATCTTTATTAACTCTTAAGATGACTCCAAATTCAGAGTAAATAGAGTAAAAAATGTAGTTAGGAATTTACCCTGAAAAATACAATGAAAAAGCCTAAAAACTTATTTTGTCTAATAATTTAGGTACTAATTGCACCTGTGCATTAATTCTTAGGCTACAAAAATAATATCAAACTGAACCAAGTTTATCTTTTGGTAATATTTTTTTAACAAAGTTTTATGATAGGCTCATTAGATACTCTTTACTTCACATCTGACTTGTGTAAAGTGATCTTTTTTGCAAAAATATTTGAGAGTATCATCATTTTTTCTGAGGGCTTCTCTTCTTTAGTATTGAAATCATTCTCTTGTGGCATTCCATTTATTATCGTTGTTGGCTTTTCTCTTCAGTTAGAACCTCTCCCAACTCTTGTAAATGCCTTCTCTTCTGATGTAGGCTGTTCTCCACACAACTTCATCATCTTCAGAAATCCTAGATCTTTGCAAGATTTGTAATTTTACCTTGCACTTGATTTGCATGGAATTATTGGTAGATTCCAACAGTCCCTGAGAGACTAGTCAATGAATCAATGACAAATTGGTGACAGATGTTAAGCAGGGAGAAATGTTTTGGGGGGAAACTACATTTGTTAAGGTTCGGTCCATTTAGTTGTTATTGCTACTCCTTTTGCTTCTTTTTGAGATTTTAGACAATCCAGATTCTAATATCTAAGATACAAGTTGCAGTTATGGATTAGGATCTTAAATTCTCAAGTTTTTGATAGAACTGGGGCATATCTTAATTTAATAGAGGAATTTTTTGAGAACTCTCTACAATTTATTGGTCGAATTTTAAAGCTATCCTTCACTGGCTTTAACAGTGAAACTTGAAAAGAGTTGTATAGAATCAAATCAGGCACAGTATAAATTTGCTTCTTAATTTCAAAGCTAATACTCAAGCTGGGGAAAGTGAGCCAGTGGGTGGTATGTCCAGAGGATGATGGGTGTTTGTTCCACTGAAATGCCTCCTGGCCTGTACATTTCTTTTTCTTCTTGGTGTGCATTTTAGGAATGAAGGTGCCTCTGATTACATTTCTGTACCTTGCCTCCCTGTGTTGAAAATTCACAGAACTAAGTTTTAGCAAGGTCGTGGCATATTTGCTCAGTAGCATATAATTTAAAATTTTTTGGTCTCCTGCAGCAGAATAATTTAAGTAATCCTCCAACACCCCCTGCCTCTCTTCCTCCTACACCACCTCCTATGGCTTGTCCGAAGATGGCAAATGGTTTTGCAACAACTGAAGAACTTGCTGGAAAAGCTGGAGTATTAGTGAGCCATGAAGGTAGGATGCCAAGCCTCCAAGTCTTGTACCTTTGAGGAGTTTGCCGGCTGTGTGTGGTGAAATGGCAGTCGGATTGTAAAGTTTACCCATTACCAGTTTTGACTGATTTATGGTTTTGTGTTTTTGCTCTTCCAGTTACCAAAAGCCTAGGACCTAAACCATTTCACCTGCCGTTCAGACCACACGATGACTTGTTGGCCAGAGCGATTGCTCAAGGCCCAAAGACAGTGGACGTTCCTGCTTCACTCCCAACACCGCCTCATAATAATCAGGAGGAATTAAGGTAGAAGTTCCTTTTTCTCAAGTATTGTTTTAGTTATTTCATTTATTTAAAAATGTATTATGTGTTTGTATATAGCGTAATGTCTGTAGGAAAAGCATGTAAAAACACTTAAAAGGTGAAATTTGGTGAATAATTTTCTTCAGAATTTAAAGTTTATAAAACATTCTTACTATTAGAAAGAATTCATTTGTGCACTCTAGAAATCTCATATGATATAGGAGGTTCAACAAGTAATAATCGAATAGACATTGAGGCATTGGGACTCTCCATGCAAAATATTTCAAAGATCATTGATTGCCCTTTATAAGCTGTTAATGTGATTTACTGGGTTTATTGATGTTTGCAGATGTCAAAATAAAAGAGCAGCAGTCACAGAGCAGAGCATGCTTTTGTGGAAGAGAATTTAAGGGCTGTCCTGTCCACAGTTTGTAACTCCTTTGTGTCAGTTCTTTAGCCCCAGGATTCTGATGAGGGAAAATCAGCTTCTCCTAGTAGATAGTCACAACCCAGCCAGTTAGATCCAGGGGAGGTTCTTATATAGCTCATCAAATTATTCTCTCTTCTTGGAAAATCTGCTAACCCCCCTCTCTTTGATAAGACGTCATTGGACTAAGACCCTTTACTGTATAAACAAGAAGACTGCGGACCGCGGGGAAGTGACTTGTCCAGAGTTAGAACCCAGCTCTTTGTTTCTCCTGGACCTTACCGCTAGATTCGTGCCAGAGTTGTCACTCGGGGGCAGCTGCGGGAGGTGGCCTCCCGGGTGTGCGTGTCGGGGCCGCCCACTCCGGGGTCTCACAGGGACCCCTTGGAAGCCTCTCTCGGGTCTTCATTAATGCTGCTTCTCACAGCCTTCCTTCAGCCTGACGGCGTCTCCTCTGGGGTTGGGGGAGTGTGAGACCCCAGGTTCTCGAGCTGCCGTACAACGTTTAGCCCAAGACCACACTCGCCCTACAGCCCCATTTGCCTTTGTAACCTTTAGCTTCTTGGACTAGACCAGCTCTCTTCCTTTTTTCACTTCACTTTATCAGTTACGAAAAATGAAGGCCTATGAAGCCATAATGGCCAGGTTTTTTCCGTCTTGCCCCTGTAAGTAAACAGCAGCCACAGGAGAGTTCTGTGCACGCGCGCCTGGGTGTGTGGTGGACTGCTCTTTCCTTTTTCAGCCACAGGAGTGTTCCCTAGTCTCAGTGATCTGGAGCTTTGCAAAGGTGTGAGTATCCATCCTTTCTATGCTGTGTTATAATCTGAACGTCTTCCTCCTTTGGCAGGTCTTTAAACTTGGATGCTAAAGCTTTAGTCAGAAGGAAACATACCATTTAAATTACTTTATAGTTAAACATATTTCTTATTTTTTTCCCAAGAGATTTCCTGTTTGGCCCTGAACTGAATCTTTGGCTTCTCAGGTTATTGTCACTGTCCAAAGGTCACACACGTAGACAGGGCTGGGCTGGTGCGGGAAGCCCCCAGCGGCGGCCTTGCGCCTGCTGATGTGTATTTATTCTGCTCCCAGGACACAGGACCATGGGGGTGACCGGGACACCCCTGACAGTGTTGTGCCCTCGTCCTCTCCTGAGAGTGTGGTCGGCATGGAAGTGAGCAGATACCCAGACCTGTCCCTGGTCAAAGAGGAGCCTCCGGAGCCCGTGCCATCCCCCATCATTCCAATCCTCCCGAGCGGCACCGGGAAAGGTAGGGGGCGCAGTGCAGTGGGGGGGTGCTGGCTGATACGAATGTTTAGAAAAGCTGTTAACACTCAACTCATCCTTCCTTTTTTAAGGGTTGGAATCTAGAAGGAATGACATCAAAACTGAGCCGGGCACTTTATTTTTCACGTCACCTTTTGGTGCATCCCCAAATGGTCCCCGATCGGGTCTCATATCTGTGGCAATCACTCTGCATCCTACAGCTGCTGAGGTAAAGATGGACTGGCTGTTGGACATTGTAGAATATTACCCATTTCTAAAGGAGTGTCAGGTGGCTCACAATGACACGTACAGCTGGGTCACTGCAGATAAAGATTAAAGTTAGGGCTTGGCTTAGCAGCCCCTTCAGACATCTACGCTGCTGTGAGTACTAGAAATTGATCTCAGCCTCAGTCAAGACAGAAAGGGCAAATTGAAGTCAGAGATCTCATTATTTTACTAAAGAATGTATAACGGTAGAGAACTAACCCTTCAGAGAGTTGATAACTATTTACACATACAAGATTAAGCAGTGAAGAGCTTTGCCAACAGTGGAAGTTTTCCAGAAGCTCTGTGTTCAGGTAGCAGCTGCTCATATCAAACACTAGTACATGGCTGAGGGTTTTCTCAAACTCTTAATACTTGATGATGTTTCGTTGGCAACCAGACTCATAGCCCGTTGACGGGGCGTTTTGGTCATCAGCAGAACATAGCAGTGGCGTGTTCTCGTGGACTGTGTCAGACTTCTGCCCAGAGCTGGGGGGGTCCACTTGAAGGAAGCTTCTGACCAGCTGTGAAAACCATGACAAGGTTTAGCTCATTCCTTGAATTAAAATGTCTAAGATAGTTTAACGTTCTCTCAAATATTTAACATTAATTGGAATCCCTGTATGAAGATTTCTGTATATGGAAGCTTTGTTTGGGTGTTGGCCCATTAAAAGCCTTTTTACCACCCCCCCCCAGGCTCTTAAGTCTAAATAAACATGGTTGGATTTGCTTGAGGCGTTTGCGCTGTGTGGATAGCATTTATCCTAACGTGAGTTGTTCTTCAGTGGTTCTCTGTGGCCTTCTGGGCGGGTAATGCAGCGTTTGCCATTTTGTTTTAGAACATTAGCAGTGTTGTGGCTGCGTTCTCCGACCTCCTCCACGTTCGGATCCCTAACAGCTACGAGGTTAGTAATGCTCCAGATGTTCCATCCGTGGGTTTGGTCAGTAGCCACAGAGTAAACCCAGGTTTGGAGTATCGACAGCGTTTATTTCTTCGTGGGCCTCCACCAGGATCTGCAAACCCTCCCAGACTAGCCAGCTCTTACCACCTGAAGCAGCCTACTGTGCCCTTCCCTCCAGCAAGCAATGGTGAGCTGGTTTACAGTTTGTTGACCCCAGATTCGTTCTTGATTCAAAAGTTACGCCCCTTCTCTTTAAGATCTTGCTTTGATTTTAGGGGAGTAACAGGTCATGTGTTGACACGCAGTCCTTGGTGACTTAACCACCACCACCCCCTTGAGGGAAGAGGCGTGACTGGACCTTTAGTGCCTGGGGCCTACGTCACACCCTCTTGTCAGCGCTCTGCTTACCCTTGAGCCGCGTTTGCTCTCCCACTTAGCGCTGTGTCACACTGTGCAGATGAGGCCGCCATCTCTGCCCGTGTTCCTGGTCCCTTTCCTTCTGCGGCATCTCCGGGGCCCCTCTCTTCTGCAGGTGCGCCCACACCTTCCCCGTCACTGAAAGGTGGGCCCGTTCCTTGCACCTGTGTGGCGTCCCTTCCCTCCTCATCTTCCCATCTGGCCTCCCCCTCCCCCTGCTCTCCCCGCCTCTTCGCTCACCAGTTTCTTGGCCGTCTTGTTTCCGTCTTCACCTGCTCTTAGAGCCCAGCCTCTCCCCACGTCTCACCCTTGAGCCGCGCTGACAGTCGCTCGTGTTGGGTTTGAACTCTCAGCCTCTGGCTGCTCTGTCCCCCTTGCTTTCCCCCTGCTTCTCCCTTCTGCCTTCGTGGCCCCGCGAGCGACGTGCTCTGAGAGCGCCACACGCTTTCCGGTCTGCATCCTTGCTCGCGTTTTCATCTTGGCCCTGGAACGCGTCATCCCTCTTCGACTTTCCACATCACGCTCGTTGAAGGCGCTCGTTCACATACGTCTCCATCCTTCATAAGAGATTCCGCACCCTCTTCACCCCGGAGCAAAAGTATTCTCTCTCCCCTGACTCACTCCGCACTGAGACTGGAGACGACCCTCCACGCGTCCCGGTTTCCCTCCGCACTTCTCACAGCCCCGCGTGTTGTCCCAGCCGTGTGAGGATAGCTTTCTTTCTTTGTACCCCAGTGTCATGCACGTAATAGATGCCCCGTAACCACTGCTTAGAAAATAAGATTTTTATCAATTACTGAAGACTAGCATGTGGTAAATTAAATGAGCCATATTGCAGTCAGTTGGTGCATACAGCTTTGCACCCCGGACCCCCGTTGTCAGTGGTCGGCTTTAGTCGCTAACGAACGCCTTTTGTCTCTAGGCCTTTCTGGGTGCGCGGGCACTAGTCACGGTGTCACAGAAAGTGCGGCTCTCAGGCCACAGTGGTGCTGCCACTGTCACGTCGTCGTTCTGGGCCACGGCGTGAGGAAGCCGGCCAGAGACCCGGCCTTTGTGAGCAAGGTACTCGCACATCCCTCCCCTGACCCCCGGGTCCCCGCCCGCCCCCGCCGTGCCTGGGCAGCGCCCGCTCCTGCGTCAGGAGGAGTCGCTTCTGGGGCTCCACAGACGCCTCCCCCAGCGGCCGCCATCGGCATATGTTTCATGTGCTTGAGCTTAAAACAGTAGCTACAGCAGCAGCCTGTTCAGGGGGTCCGATGAGAGCCGCGTTATTTTTAAATGGTGAAATATGGAAAGTAAGGTTTATTTCTGCAAATGTAGTTCCTCTGTGGCTAAATTATTATATGCTAAATACTGGCTCGTAGTTACCTTTTTACTGCTTTTAGGATTGCTGCTTTCACTTTGAACAGAACAGACCCAGCCCCGTGCAGATCTTGTTCTTACTAGATCCCAACTTGTCGAGCTCCCCACACCTTTCTCTTTGCTTTTCAGGGCTCCCGAGACAGCTCCAGCAGAGCAGAGAAGGACATTGTCTTCTGTAGTAACAACTGCTTTATTCTCTATTCATCAGCTGCACAAGCAAAAACCTCAGAAAGCAAGGTAAGATGGGGACAGTTTCAGTCAGCAGTCTGCGTTGAGTGGCGCCTGTGTTTTGGGGGTGTGTCCACTTCTCCCACCCAGATCTCCCCCCGGGGAGTCCGAGCATATGCTCCCCGGGTTGGGAAGGAGTGCTTGGTCCAGGCTGTTACTGCAAACTAAGTAACTTGAGCTCATTCATCAAAAGTGGGCAGATTTGAACTATGTCTTAAAAGGTCAGAAGTGAATAAAACGCTACTATTAAAATCTGTAATTTTACTTACTTAACTACAAATATCTTAATTTAATCACAACTATAAAGTATTGCTTTAGTGATCTTGTCCCAATGGGAAAACCTGTTCACAGCCACAATTTAGGTCTATTCATGTATTCTGGGGGAAAAGTATCTGTCTTGTACCAGGTTGGAAAAGGTCTATTTGTTTTGTGTGTGATTTAAGGGTGTCTTCGGGTGTGTAGCTGATGTGGACGATACGTTTTTTTGTTTTTGTTTTTGTTTTTTGGTATGCAGGCCTCTCACCGTTGTGGCCTATTCCGTCGTGGAGCACAGGCTCCGGACGTGCAGGCTCAGCGGCCATGGCTCACGGGCCTAGCCGCTCCACGGCATGTGGGATCTTCCCAGACCAGGGCACGAACCCGTGTCCCCTGCATCGGCAGGCGGACTCTCAACCACTGCGCCACCAGGGAAGCCCAGACGATACGTTTTTAACTGTTTGCGCTGAAGGAAGTTTTTCCTGTGCTGTGATAGTCTCTCCTCCCTCCACATCATTGCTCTTGGGTCTTTCTGGAGACTCTTATTTTTTTAAAAAGGCAGTAGCACCCAGTGTAATAAAATTCAAGCTACTTGCCAAATAAATTTATACTTTAAAATATATCAGCCTAGATGAGAGAAGGAATTTTTTTTCCCACCACATAATTTTGTGAATCCGTGTGCAGTGTCTGCCTGCTTCTGGATTTTCTGTGAGGCGCGTCTTTTTTCAGAGCTGTGTAGGGTGGGGTGCATGAGAAGGTGGGTTTGCTGTTGATTTGGTTATGACGACACTTTGTATCTAAAAAGAAACTAATGGAACTTCTGTCTCAGTTCAGCCCTTTCAGCAGTTGGATGGGAACCTGGCAGCCTCTGAGAAAAGTTAAATATGATTTGTTTGTTGACAGGGGACTTCTTCCCCATCTTTCACACTTATGCCAATTAATTAAGCCTAAGATTAACAAACAGGAATTTCAGTGGGTGGGTCAAGCTCATAGAAAATTATGATCCGGAGTTCTTGCTTGGTTTAACAAAAAGCTGTTCCGTCTTGTAAATTAAATTAGCTCCTGTGACACGAAAAGTTTTAAGAGCAGAATACTCTCCAGAGTTGGGGCTTTGCAGAGAACACACACTCTCTGTGTCGAGACGCGAGCACCACGGGCATGCAGCACTGACCTCCGCTGTGCGCCAGTCCTCTTACTTACAGACCCAGAGCCAAACACCCTGCTGATGGAACCCTGCTGCTTGGCTTCTTCTTGTAGCAAGAATTGCCCTGGGGGCTTTGGAATGAACTCTTTCTTGTGTTTCTTTTTTTTTGTGCAGGAATCCGTTCCTTCATTGCCACACTCGCCTGTAAAAGAGACGCCTTCCAGAGCATTTCATCAGTACAGTAACAACATCTCCACTTTAGACGTGCACTGTCTGCCGCAGCTCCAGGAAAAAGCTTCGCCCCCAGCGTCACCGCCCATCACTTTCCCTGCTGCTTTTGAAGCAGCCAAAGTGGAGGCAAAGCCAGATGAGCTTAAGGTAACGGTCAAGTTAAAGCCTCGGCTAAGAACTGTCCACGGTGGGTTTGAAGACTGTAGGCCGATCACTAAAAAGTGGAGAGGGCTGAAGTGGAAGAAGTGGAGCGTCCACATCGTGGTCCCCAAGGGGACCTTCACACCCCCCTGTGAAGATGAAATTGACGAATTTCTGAAGAACCTGGGCACTTCCCTGAAACCCGATCCTGTGCCCAAGGACTATCGGAAGTGTTGCTTCTGTCACGAAGAAGGCGATGGGTTGACAGACGGACCGGCGAGGCTGCTCAACCTCGACTTGGACCTGTGGGTCCACTTGAACTGTGCCCTGTGGTCCACGGAGGTGTACGAGACCCAGGCTGGTGCCTTAATAAACGTGGAGCTGGCCCTGAGGAGAGGCCTGCAGATGAAATGTGTCTTCTGCCATAAGATGGGGGCCACCAGCGGGTGTCACAGATTTCGATGCACCAACATTTATCACTTTACTTGCGCCATTAAAGCACAATGCATGTTTTTTAAAGATAAAACTATGCTTTGTCCCATGCACAAACCAAAGGGAATTCACGAGCAGGAATTAAGTTACTTTGCCGTCTTCAGGAGGGTCTACGTGCAGCGTGATGAGGTACGACAGATCGCCAGCATCGTGCAGCGGGGAGAGCGCGACCACACCTTCCGTGTGGGAAGCCTCATCTTCCACACTATCGGCCAGCTGCTTCCACAGCAGATGCAAGCGTTCCACTCTCCCAAAGCACTCTTCCCCGTGGGCTACGAAGCCAGCCGGCTCTACTGGAGCACGCGCTACGCCAGCCGCCGCTGTCGCTACCTGTGCTCCATCGAGGAGAAGGGCGGGCGCCCCGTGTTCGTCATCAGGATCGTGGAGCAGGGCCACGACGATCTCGTCTTGAGTGACACCTCACCCAAAGGTGAGCCCCGTCTGTAGGCTCCGCCGAGCCCGCCACTCCAGGGTTCGGCTAATGAATGTTTTATGTCAGTATTTCCATGGTTTTCCTCACGTCTGTTTCATATTTTATCACAGCAGGTGCGGATTCTTCATTTACAAATGCAAGTCTTAACTTCTTTGTATTGTCATACCTTGCTGTCTTTTTCTAAACACTTGCTAGAATTACTCTAAATCAGAATGTATATTCCAACAGAGTTTAATAAAATAAATAGGAGAATGATTTGCAGATACAGGTTGCCTGTCACTTACATTGGGGACCCTCTTGTTAATGTCACCTAGAAGGTGGAAACCGTATTTAAAGCCATATTGTCTTATCTCAGGAGCATTAAACAGATTTAGAGCCAGAAATGAGACTGAATTTCGGCCTCTAGGATTAAGCCTAGATTGTCATTTTTATTGATGTAGAAAGTGCTGCAGAACTGCTTTTTTTTTTTTCAAGTTTAGCAGTTTTTTTAAAAAAAAAGTATGAAAATGCTCTAAAGATGAAATATCAATTTCATATTTTAACTCTGAGAGAAAAGGATATATCTACAGATACTACTTAATTGGATTAATCATTTGAAAATCTAATATGCTGCTTGGCCAGCATGAAAGTGAGTTAACTACTTATATGAATTTCAGTTATATTTAACTTTCTTTTCCACTTCTCCTGTTTAACTTCCTTAATGTAACATATTATTTTCCCCCAAACTTCATAAAGTCTTTAAAACTACTGCCATCCAATAAGCAGGTAATATACCAGGCTTCTTAGATCACTGCCCATGGGCTTTAACTTGGATCTGGTAAGTCTTCGTGAGCGGTTGGTCGTTTCGTTCTTGTTTTTATACTGTATCCTGTTTTCCTCTCTCTTTAGCTAAGAGCAAGTTTGTCATTAAAAAAATATCTTTTTGTCCATACGTAGGTGTTTGGGATAAGATTTTGGAGCCTGTGGCATGTGTGAGAAAAGAGTCGGAAATGCTGCAGCTCTTCCCAGCCTACTTAAAAGGGGAGGATCTCTTCGGCTTGACCGTCTCTGCGGTGGCGCGGATCGCGGAATCAGTGAGTGCCGGGGCCGAGGCTGGAGAGCCACCCCCTGTCACGCGACGCACCTTACTTAACACGGGGCTATCACTCTCACAACACTTCAAGGTAGTGGTTTTGTCGGGGGTGAACTCCTGTCGCTCTGAAAGAACACGAGGCATCGGTGAGTTGTAGGCGTCTCCGTGCTCACTTGGTGAGGCAGCTTACCACCCAGCGTTAATGGCCACTTTCCTGCCCGGGGCCCAGGGTTGGTCAGCAGAGCGCAGTTGGATTTCAGGAGCCCTTACTGTCTGATGCCTGCTTGTTACAAGCACGTGTGCCAATGAGTCTACACACAGTGCTTTTGGAAAACTGCATGATTATAAGGTATTGTTCTCAAGAAAAAAGTCACTGATGGGTTTTCTTCAGAGAAGCAGTGGACACCCCCGAAAGCCACTGAGTACTGTACCCAGTTGCTTTCTTTGGTGGAGCCCTGCCTAAATGATATGCATCTGTCATGTCTCCAGAGGACAGTGTCCACAAGAAACATGTTCTAGAAAAGACCTTGAACACGAATGGTTTTAGGAGTTAACCTTAAGTTACCAGCTGTACTCCCAGGCCCCCAAGGGTGGTAAGCGCATCATACATAGTCAGGTTCTGAGTGCAGGCTGCTTCTGTTAACATGGCTTGAAAGAACCTCTTGTTACCAACATTTTGAAAATGTTGACAAGTTATTTTCATGGAATTCAAGTTGGGCCATCCTTTGGCCGGCTCAAGATTGCCTGTGGTCTTGATCAGGTGAGTTAATTTTTTGTTTATTTTGCTTCTTTCCAGCTCCCTGGGGTTGAGGCGTGTGAAAACTACACCTTCCGATACGGCCGGAACCCTCTCATGGAGCTGCCCCTGGCCGTCAACCCCACAGGTTGTGCCCGTTCTGAACCTAAAATGAGTGCCCATGTCAAGAGGTTTGTGTTAAGGTATTTTGTTTTGACTTCACATAGTACAGCCCAGGGTTTCCAGGCCTCTTAGGGGTTTTCTGTGCTTGATCTGTCTGCTGCTTACAAACCCTGCTGCCTCTGGCTGTGTCTGTGCGGCCGCGCCAGCTAGGCGGCTTTCCCTGTGTGTGCTGTCAGTGAGAACTTGAACCAGCCAGGCCCCTCAGAGGTGTCTCCGCTCTCCCTTTGTGTCCCCGTCGGCACGCCATCGCCCACAGGCCTCACACCCTGAACAGCACCAGTGCCTCCAAGTCGTTCCAGAGCACAGTCACCGGGGAGCTGAGCGCACCTTACAGCAAGCAGTTTGTCCACTCCAAGTCGTCGCAGTACCGCAAGATGAAAACCGAGTGGAAGTCCAACGTGTACCTGGCCCGGTCTCGGATTCAGGTGAGTGGGGCTTGGCTTCTGGGAGGAGGGGAGGTGGGCTGGGAGGGTGCTGGCATCCGGCACATGAGACAGGAGACCGTGGGCCGCAGGGAGAGAAACCCCGTCAGCCCGGGGCGCCGGCCGCTCCGTCCGCGGTCTTGGAGGGCGGATGCTTTACTCCCCCGTGGAAGGACGGTTTCTGGACGCCCTCTCTGTACCTCTTGATGAGGGCTCACGGGATGCGGGGAGCGCTGTATCTTCCACACGTGGGATCTGCAGCGTGCTCGCTAGGGCTCTTTCGAGGCACTTGTGAAAAATACAAACGAAAATAGTTTCAAAAGGTGCCCAGTTTCAGAAGCCTTCTCTTCATGAAATCATCGTGTAGTTTCTGGTGGATAGATGGTGGAACACCTTACAGGTAAAGCCATCTCTAGGCTAAGCATGTAAATTTTCACCTGTGGTCACACTTCCTGAAGAAACAAATGTCTATGCGGCATCTCCCCTTGGTGGCCCAGGATGGAGTTACGAGCTCTCATGCTGCCAGCGTCCTCCGTCTCGAAGGCTGATCACCCTCCAGGCTCTTCAGATCGCTGAGCAGTGTCACCATCTACTAATTGAGTGCGCTGGCCTCATTACCCCAGACCCCAAAGCATCATCGGTTTCTGCTGCCTTTTTTCCTCCCGGAAGAGTTTCCCCAAATCCACTTCCAGCTCTGCTGCCTGTTCTAACCACCCATCTCACCTGCAGGCACTGCTGCAGGCCTGCCTGTCCCCTCCCGTGCAGTCCCCTCAGAAGCCAGGGCGGCCCCTTCACATAGAAACCTGGTTTACACATTGTCTCTATTCATTGACGTTCTTCTTTCTGTAGAAACTTTTAGGATCTACTCTTGATTCTTGATATTTTGAATTTTTACCAAAATGGGCCTGGGTTAGGGTCATTTTTATTTATTGCTTTCCTCACTGATGAGGCCTTTCAGCCTGAAGCAGTGTGGCCATCAGTCTGAGAAATGCTTTTGTATTAATTCCAGCTTGCAGATTCCTACCTCTGTTTCTCTCTATACACAAATATTAGATCCCTGAGACCCGGGATCTCACAGGGTGGACCCCAGACCGTCAGCACCGGCATCGGCTGGGGGTTTGCGGGTTTGGGGTCCCTAGCCTTGCTGAGCCTGGCCCCGGAGCTGGGGCCCGCAGCGGCTGTGGCGCCGCCAGGGGAGGCTTCTGTCTCAGGTCTGCCCTCCTGCTGCGGCCTTGTTTCTGGTTCCTCGTCCTCGTCCTGAGCGCTTCTACGTTATCTGCTGTCTGTGCTTTCTGCTCTTGACCTTTTTATCTGATACCTTTTGCTTTCATATTACGAATGCAGGGTCTTCCTGGTCTTTTTGCTGTTGCCTCAGAAATGGAGCCTCAAAAGATTCCACTCGAGGCAGTGGTGTCTTCCTCCTCCGCTCAGTTCCTTCCCCGTTTAAAATGTTCCCAAACAGCTCGTTCACTCTGACCATCCCTGGTCTTCAGTCTTGGTTTTGCTCCCTTACGTCACGTTAAGGGTTTCTTAACTACCTGCGTTCAGTCTGTCCTCTTTAACCCGAAGCGTTTTTGAGAGTTTTTGATGTTTGGTCACCTTTTTTCTTCCTCCGTCCTGTCCACCTCCCTTCCGTCCACCTCCCAGGTAATCATGTTAATGACCCAGTAAGTGTCCTGTGTCTTCTCCCTGCTACTCCCTTAACACCACCTACACATCTGTGTGCATATGGAAAAGTGGGATTGTCTTATCTACGCTTTTCTGCATCTTCCTTTTCTCACTAATATTTACACCCCTCTAGAACAACTGAGGTAGCCCCGATTCATTCTCTTTAATGTCTCTGTGATGTTCCGTGATGTTGATGAACTGTAATTAATGAAAGCATTCCACTGCTGATGAGCCTGTATTTTGTTTACAGTTCTTTCCCACAACAAACAGTGTTGCCATCAGTATCTTGTACAAATATCCCCATGTATTGGTAACTTCACTTCAATGGTGTGTGTAGGCCCCAAAGTGAGATTTCTGTGTTAGAAGTGCATGTACTTTTCATTTTAGCAGACATTTGCCTGTTTTCTAAAAAGGCTGTAATTGCCCACTTCTTCCTGCAGTATATGAGACTATTTTTCTTGTTTTCCCATTGGTAGTGTTACCACCCTTTTGTATTTTTGCCAGCCTGTTAAGTGTAGACCGACAGTGTCACCTCGGTTGCACCTTTTCGTGTTTGCCACTCGGGTCTGCTCTTCTGTGAACTACCTTTGTCCGCTGTGCAGTTTATAAGAACTTGTACTATTAGGCAAAGGTTGTTTTGTAGGGGAAAACACCTACCAGAAAGTATGGTATGTGTTTTCCTATAAGAGTTTTAATTTTTATATAGTCAAACGTATAATTTTCTGTAGCTTCTATTCTTGGTTAAGACTGTAGGTTGCATGTGTACTTTCTTAGATTTTTTTTCTTTCAGGAATTTTATTCTGTATGTTTAAGACAAATTTTTTTTTTTCCATTGAATAACCAGTTGTGGAAGCACCATTTAGTATTGGGTTGGCCAAAAAGTCCGTTGGGGTTTTTCTGTAAGATTTGTGGAAAAATCCAAATGAACTTGTTGGCCAACCTAATAATGTATATAACCCATCCATATTAAATTGAATTTTAGTACTACCAAACTACTGTACATTAAGTTTTCACGTGTGCCTCGGTCTATTTGGATTCTCCGTTCATTTCCACTGATCTTCTTGTCTCTTATACCAAACTGTATTCATCTCCATACAGATTCTTTCTGTGTGTTCTAGTTGGTTCAGCTCTGAGTCTCATATGGAATTGAACAGATAAATTGCATAAGTGGTTTTTTTCAGAAGTTAATTCAATTCACATACCAAAATTTCTAACAACAGCACAGCCTGTACTGTGTGCTCCCAGGTGGTGCTTGGTGAGGACCGTGTCTGGTGGGGATCTGGTCAGTTTTAGCTGAGAATGCAGAAACTCAAATTGTAGTAATCCCTTATAGTTAGCCCTGTTTCTGTTCTGTAAGCTTATTGTTATGTCAGGTCCTTTTTGAAATGGTGGGGTTAAAAAAAATAGCAGAAGCCATTAGCCTGTTGAGTTGGTGGGATCTGGAAGTGATATTACACACAAGATAAGATAGCCAGTTAGAAGCAGTGCTCAGCCAGTCAGCAGTATCACTTTGTAAAAATGCCCTAAGACTTTAGCGTCAAAAAGATACAAAAACAAGGTAGCGATATCATAGTTTTAGGTGAGAAGATTGTCCAGTGTTCAGGGTTCAGGTGAGAGTGTGGTCAGTGAGAAGGTCAGGTGAGTTCAGGTGGGGTCTTCAGTGTGGCTTGGGTGGTACCTTTGTGCGAGAGAGGCTGCAGGCCAGTTGCCTGTGGAAGCCAAGTGGTTCCGAGGTGTGTATACGTGCGTTTCCTCAGGGGCTGGGCCTGTACGCCGCTCGGGACATCGAGAAGCACACCATGGTCATCGAGTACATCGGGACCATCATCCGGAACGAAGTCGCCAACAGAAAGGAAAAGCTTTACGAGTCCCAGGTGAGCGCGCACCCCTCCTATGCTGTCCGACAGCCACGGCGCAGGGCCGGATTGGACCGTCACGCTGGTGGGAGTGCAGTGTCGAACAGAGCCACGTCTGGATATTTTTGTATTTTCCTCCTGTTTTTTCCGTCGGTCTTACTGTCTGCGAGGATGTGGCTGGATTGATGCACCTGGCTTCACAGGCCACCTGCCAACGTGTTGGTTCCGTTCACAGCTTGTAGACACCACCTGACGGGCTGGCGTGTTGTCCCGGCGAGTGTGACCGGGGTGCGTGTCGGCGCACATCCGGCTTCGCCCCCTCACGTGGACGGGAACGCAGAGGGGTTCTGACCTCTTTCTCTTTCAGAACCGAGGCGTGTACATGTTCCGCATGGACAACGACCACGTGATCGACGCCACGCTCACGGGAGGGCCTGCAAGGTGAGGGGGGGTCTGAGCGGGAGGCGCGGTGGGGCGGGGTCTGAGCGGGAGGTGTGATGGGTCAGTGCGCTCACTGGGGCCTTTCAGTCATGGAGAGAAGTTTTTTTTTAAATTGTGTGGGACTTCCCCGGCGGTCCAGTGGTTAAGACTCTCCGCTGTCATTGCTAGGGCCCCAGGTTGGGGAACTAAGATCCCACAAGCCGTGCAGCCAACAACAAAAATGTGTATATTCTATTAATGGACAGATAGAAATGTAATTAGAAACAGATGACCCTGTGAGCTGAAAGGTTTTCTTTTAAAAGCTTCTTCCAAAGTCTTATAGTAAGTCGTTTCTGAAACGGCACCTTGCAGGTACATCAACCACTCGTGCGCGCCTAACTGTGTGGCCGAGGTGGTGACTTTCGAGCGAGGACACAAGATCATCATCAGCTCCAGCCGGAGGATCCAGAAGGGAGAAGAGGTAAGCGCAGGGCCGCACCGCGTGGCCCCTCCCTGCGGGTGGCACTCGACTCCTCTGTGCACGTAATCTGCTCAGCGGTTTGCAGTCCTTCGCTGCTAGCAAGGCCCTCCTCCTGGAAGGTCGGCCTCGGCCGCCCCGCACATCTCGGTCCGACAGTCTTTGCCCTGCAGATTCCACGTCCCCACGTCGCTCGTGTGAACGGGCTCCTCTCGACCCCCGTGCTGTCCATTTGGCTCGGTGACCCTCTCTTTAAAATGATGCCCGTCGTCGAGCTCATGGCCGAGAATATCACGGGATTGGTGCCTCGTGGTCCCTGGGGTCATCGTGGCTCACGTGAGGTCACCCTGAGGCTGTAGGCGGCAAATCTGGGGGTCCCCGTGGCTGCTCTCACACTCAGGGCCAGTACAGGCGTATAGACTTTTCTACCAACAGCTTCTTAGACAGTTTGGCGGTCTCGTTAGGTGTACTTTCCCTTGCCCCACGGATCACTTTGGCCCAGCACGTCGCCTGTTAGGATTGTTATTAGTCTTGATCGCCTTGTTTACGTTTCCTGACTTTGTCACAATTGTGAGGAGCACGCGTTTCGCCGTGCGCTCCGTGCCTGGAATCGGGGTGTCCTAGAAAGCGGCTGCCACGCGGTGTGGGTTCCGTGGGGAACCTCCCCTGTTCAGGGAGGGAGGCGCCTGAGGCTCTTTTCTGGGTTTGAGCCCCCAGCGCTACGTGAACAGAGCTGTGAGATTATACTTGTACTTTTTGGTCATCTTTTTGGAATGTGCTTTTTTAAAATCAAGAATTGACCCGAGGCCTGTTTTGCACATCTCACCAACTTGAGTGAATTAGAGAAAGGATGTGAGGACCCCAGGGTGGTGTCACGGCGTGGGGACAGATGGAGGCTCAGCAGTCCCACGCCCTGCTCGCGCCCCTCCGAGCGGGCCGCGTAAGCCCTCCAGCCTGTACTTTGCCTTACGCACAAGGAGAAACAGTTCCTCTTGGAGTTCCTGTAAGAACTCAGTAAATACCGGTGTGTTCCCTTCCGGTGTAGAAGGGAAGTCTTTGCAGATAGTGTCCCAGGGTATTTGAATCAGAGGGACCTTGGCCATGTCAGGTTTCTCAGGGGTCGGGGTCCCGGGGTGAGGCTTACACCGTGGGAATCACGCAGACCCCCGTCCACCCTGACAGCAGGGTTGATCTGAGATATTAACGATAATGCGGTTGCGCTTAAATAGAGCAGCGTCTTTTAAATATTCTTGTACGTGAGGAAGGATGGAGGAGAAGGATGTTCTCAGGCAAGAGCGATTCGTCTCTGCCCATCTCGTTACCCCGTCCGGCAAGAAAGGGGCGGGGGACGGGGGACGGGGGACTTGTCCCACCCAGGGCAGCGGGCCCGGCACCGCGGCGTGCAGTGTGGAGACACACCAGCTGCCCTCGCCGCCTCCGGCTTGGCCCCAGAATAGTGCCTCCCGCTTGCCTCGGGCCCCGCGGGATCCCCCGGAAGAGCACGCCCAGCGCGCTCCGCAGTTTCCTTTTGAGGTCCCCCCACCTCCCCACCTGAGTCCCGTGGCCCCTCGACGCGTCAGGGCTTCCTTTGATTCCGTCCGTCTGTGGGCTGGCTGTGCACAGCAGGCAGAGGGAGGCCTTTCTCACACTGTGTCTTTGCTGTGGGCAGCTTTGCTATGACTATAAGTTTGACTTTGAGGACGACCAGCACAAGATCCCCTGTCACTGTGGCGCCGTGAACTGCCGGAAGTGGATGAACTGATGCATTCCCCGCTGTCTCAGAGGGCGGCTCGTCCCTAGGAAGGAGCGATTCAACACAGCATTTGAATTTCGCAGACGGAAAGAGGTTTTTGTTTTCTGTTTTGTGACTTTGTGGAAACTAGCTTCTGGGAGTCCTGATTTCCTCTGAGCTTTTAGGTTAGAGGAGCACAGGAGAAAGCCGACCGAAGCAACTTTCCCGAAGTTGCTGAGGTTAAGAATTACAGAATGGTCCAGCACTTTCGTTTTCTTTTTCTTTTTCTTTTCTTTCTTTTTTCTCTTTGAGGTGGGTTTTGTTTCGTTAGGCTTCTTTAGTCTCACTAAGGAGAAACTTTTACTGGGGCAAAAAGAGCCGATGGCCGCCCTGCCCCGCCCCAGGGCAGAGGGCCTTCCTGTGAATGTAAGACTGAAATCACCAGCGAAAGGGAGACGTCCAAAGTGCTGGCCACCGCCTTATCTGAAAAAGGGGCAGGCCCTCTAATTTAAAAGTTTTTAAATAAAGTAGACACCACTGAACAAGGAATGTACTGAATGACTTCCTTAGGGATAGAGCTAAGGGATAATAACTTGCACTAAAATACATTTAAATACTTGATTCCATGAGTCAGTTTATTGTAGTTTTTGATTTCTGTAAAATAAGAGAAACTTTTTGTATTTATTATTGAATAAGTGAATGAAGCTATTTTTAAATAAAAGTTAGAAGAAAGCCAAGCTGCTGCTGTTACCTGCAAAACTAACAAACCCTGTTACTTTGTACAAATGTGTAAATATTTTGAGAAAAAATACAGTATAAAAATAGTTATTGACCAAATGCTACCAGGCTCTGCAGCAGCTCGGGTGCTTATAAAATGTTCATAGGGATGTTACAATATAATTTTGTTATTAAATATGCCATTATAATTATGTAATAACCAAAATTTCAACCTAGAGTGTTTGGGGTTTTTTGGAAACTACGGTCTGTTAGTACTTAATTGTTTTATACACTTTACTTCTCATAGAACAGAGTGTGTGCTATGACTACAACTTTTATAGCCGTTTTGGTAACTTAAACTGATTTTTTCATATTATATTGTTGCATCCCTACTTCTCCGGTCAGGTTTTTTTGTGCTTTTACAATTTGTGGTAACTGTGAATAACTGCTTACAAATACCCCCAGTGGAGGCTGAATTTTCTTCAGCAGAAGTAGGTTTGATTAGAACTTGGTTTCAAGCCACAGAGAATCATGTAAACATAATAGGATCATGTAGCAGGAGCTCTACTCTAACTCTCTAGTCTTCTATTGAACACAAAAATTTGAAAAAGGAAAAAAAAAAAAAAAAAAAAAAAAGGGAGAGATGTGACCATGCTTGCAGCTGCAGGACCCCGGCAGTAGGGTTTTGGAAGATGTAATTTTCAACTGTGTTTGTATGAACAGTTTGTTTACATTTCTTTAATTAAAAAAAACACACTGTTTTGTGTTTGCTTGTAGAAACTTAATCAGCATTTTGAACCAGGTTAGCTTTTTATTTTGTACTTAAAATTCTGGTACTGACACTTCACAGGCTACGTATAAAATGAAGTTTTTGTGTGCACAATTCCAGTGGACTGTGAGCTGTTGGTATATTCAGTGATGCAGTTCTGAACTTGTAATGTACATGGCATGGTGTATTTTTATCTTACAGAATAAATCAATTGTATATATTTTTCTCTTGATAAATAGCTGTATGAAATTTGTTTCTTGAATATTTTTCTTCTCTTGTACAATATTCTGACATCCTACCAGTATTTGTCCTACCGGGTTTTTGTTTTGTTTTCTGTTCTGTATAATAGTATCTAATGTTGGCAAAAATTGAATTTTTTGAAGTATACAGAGTGTTATGGGTTTTGGAATTTGTGGACACAGATTTAGAAGATCACCATTTACAAATAAAATATTTTACATCTACAAAATGCTGCCTGAGTCTCTGTTGGCGCTCTGATCACAGCTCGGAGGCTGACGAGCACTTGAACTTCACCGACAGCCTGGCCCAACCTTTCAGAGTGACTGGCTTGTGGACGTGATCAACTTGGTTCTCTCCCTTTTCAGATGAAGAGTTTAGATGTGAGTTCTAAGGGGGCTGCTAAGAATTGAAACTGCTCAGAATCCCATTCAGTTTCCTACAACAGCCTGTGCTTCATGAAGAGCCTAAAACAGCTTCCGCACTGCGTGACTTTACAGAAGGTCTCCAAGCCCCCATCATCTGACCACTTCTTTTAAATGCCCGTCTGAGACGCCTCCCGTCTGTGAAGTTGTCCATCTGGACGCGGCTGGACACGGTCACGTCTGTGCCGGGCCGTAAAGTTCTTGCTTGGGGCGGCCTTTCCTTGGACCACACGCTCGATTTCTCACCGTCAGACACACGAGGAAGGAAGCTACAAGGCGTCGCCGCACCAAGGCTCGGACAGGCGAGCGGGTGCTTCCGGCCGTCAGCTCTGCCGACCTGGATGGATCTGGCCTCCCAGGGAGAGGGGCGCGTGGGCCTGGGGCCAAGGAGAAGCGGAGCTCGTGAGTCTGCAGGAGGGAGCAGCATCGCGCGAAGCGTCTGTCGCACCGAAGCCCGGTGACAGACGGCTGTCTCCGCAGGGCCAGCCGGTGCCTCAGACCCCAGGTGCCCCTTGCAGTGGGCCCTGCGATGACACTGCGGCAGGGAGCAGCCCCGGCCCCGTGGCCCCAGGTGTCAGCTGCCACCGTTACCTTGTTCTTTGACCACACACTCAACTCACCTACTCAGCGCCTGGAAGGACCAGAACGTGACACGGGTCCCTGCATCACTGAGCTTGTAACCCGATGGGGACACAGAAAAAGACAGGTGGTTCTTGAGCTGGCGATGGAGGAGGGAGGTGGGTGGGGGCCAGGAGAGGCCGCCCTGAGCAGCGAGGACTCAGGGCTGGCGGGACCCGTCCTGTTCCTGCCACGGCGGCTGGACCGGCACACGCCTCACCCGTGGTTCCTCAGGGTTCTCGAAACTTTCGTAATCTTCTGGAATGAGCCCACGGTCTCCTTGGTAGGAAGGGGGAAGAGCCCCTTCTCGCTGTCGTCGTGCCCCCCACTCCCGGCTCTCTCGGATCCCAGTCCCCCTGGTGTGTGCACCCGAGCTGCCGGAGGCGGCGGGGGTCTCGCTGGGCTGCGTCTCTGTCTCCCAGGAGGGTGTGGCGTTTGCTGCGCCGATGCAGCCCAGGCCTCCGGGGTCAGGTTCATGGCTCTTGGCTGCAGCCCAGCCCCGCCCC